ATCTTGTGAAATTTAATCTTCAGTTTCTTTTTTTTTAGTATAATAGTTTTCTTAGAGGCTTAAATCTGTATCAATCTAATATAATGATAAATAACTCGTAAGTTATTTGTCTAAAACATGGCTCTAAGTAGAATTAGCAAAATTCATTGCACTACTGTGGAGATAGGGCTTCCCAGGTGGTGCTAGTGGTAGAGAACCTGCCTGCTAATGCCAGAGATGTAAGAAACACGGGTTCTATCCCTGGGTTGGGAAGATCCCCTGGAGGAGGCCATGGCAACCCACTCCAGTATTCTTGGCTAGAGAATCCCATGGACAGAGGAGCCTGGAGGGGTTACATCCATAGGCTCACAAAGAGTCATACACCAGTGAAGTGACTTTTGCACTATGGAAATAAGTCCTAAATCTACTATTAAGAGTATTACTACTAATGCCTTGTAATAATAGTAAAGGAACTGTTATCTAATCTGGGTGATTGGTTAATTTGGTTTGATTTGATTTGCTTTTTAAAAACATTTTGTGTAAAGAATTTTGAGGGTATGATCCCATCGGCAGAATGCTAAGTTTCATTATACCTGATAGAAGAATAGGTTGAACTGATAAAATATTGAGATTAGAGGTTATTTAGAGCCAGTTTCTAACATTAGAATAAAATGGTGCATATTTAGCGTTGATACTAAAACAACCTTTTACTGTGCCATTTAATTAAGATGACTTTCGGTGTTTTTATAAAGAACCAAGCCTAAATCACTGAAATTTATTATCCTTCACATTTCAAAAGTTTCCAACTGTTTTGAATTTAAAACTTTTTTCTAATACAAATTTTAGTCATTTATATGCCAGCTGAATTGACAGCTTTTACACTTGTTTGTGGCATTGACCGTAAGTCTTTTGATGATTGTAGAACATCATAAATATAAATAATGATAAATATAAAATCATCAAATATCAATGTATAACATGCATTTTATTTTAGGTATTATAAAAAAGTTGCTGGTGTTAAAGTGAAACAAAAGCAGAATGAAGATGAAGAAAGTATAGAAGATGTGGACGATGAGGAATTTGAAAAGATGATTGGTAATTTGTTTACCTTTATAATCCACAGAGCTTGAAAATTTTTATTGAAATTTAGACTGAAGCAAAAATTGGGAAATTAGAAAAGTTTACATTGAGCCAACTTGTTGCATATTATATCACACCTACTAAAAATAAGCACTTAAAACAGTTCTAATGGAGTAAAAAGGACTGCAATTGCTAAATACTCTTTTATGTGACATTTTCCCTCATTGCATAAAAGAACTGTAGAAAGAAGCTAAAATTAACCAGAACACATTTAGTTTAGGGATTTAATTTAAGGCCAGCATAGTACATAGATTTGTGTAGATTAATAAAATACCTGCAGTGTCAGATGTATATCATTTTGGTGTTTACTTATCACAAACAACAGTCATATGTGTTGATTTTGGTATAAGACGTGTCAAGTTTGTTATTTCTTGCTGTATCTCAAAATTTGTATATTGCTCTCTGGCAGACACATTTGAAGATGATAATTGCTTCACCCCTGGAACGGATGACCTTGATTTCGCTAGGTAATAACGCTTTTCTTAAAATTTTTTTTAAACTTTTTTTCCCAGCGTTTCTCAAATTACTGCCTTTCCGAATAGTGGAGCACAGGACTATGTGTTATATAGGAGAAAGACATTGAATTTTGGGAAATAAATGTAGTACTTTTCATTTTTGGACTTTTATAATGCTTGTTAGTATGTTAAATAAAGGCTCTGAGATGTCTGTAGCTCTCCTTTGAATTCTGTTAATAGCCTGACATCCTGCTGGTCATCAAAACATACTTTAGAAAACAGAGTCCTCATTTACATTACAAATTGTTATTTTTCTTCAGCAACATGAAGAAGAAAGCAAAAGGAGCTAAGGATGACTCAGAAGATGAAGATTCAGAAGATGACGACCTTGATAATTTGGATGATGATGAAGTTTCGTTAGGAAGTATGAATGAAGAATTCGCTGAAATTGAAGAAGATGGAGGAACGTTCATGGATGTGTTAGATGATGAGAATGAGGCCATTCCAGGTAAACCTTTAAACAAACTTTCTGCCTCAGCAGAGGCTAGTTTTTCTCTTAAAAGGTTTTTTAATATTATCTCATATTCAGATTTATACTTAAATCAGCCAGAAATTTAAAGATCTTCCCATCTCACTTGACACTGAAGTTTTTGGGTTTTTAAGCAGCTGAGTTCTGTTTTGGACTTCTATTTTAATCACTATTGAGACTGTCTGTGCTATTCCTCTTGACCTGTTATGTTATACTGCCTTTTAAAAACTGGATTGATAATTTGCAATAATGTTAAAGTTCATCTATATTCATCACAGTAGTTCTGCAGCAGTTTTTTTAAATTGCTTAATAACAACAGGGTTTTATGTTTTTGTTTTTGGTAACAGAACTTGATGATGAAGTCAGACTCAAAGTCAATAATAAGAAAAACAAGAGAAAAGGTGCAAATGATTTTGACTTTGCTGGGTCATTTCAAGGTAAGAAAATGTATATAGTCTCTTTTAAACCTAAGCACTGAATGTGAAAGCTAGCATTCATTATCATTTTTGGGAAATTAACTTTTCTATTGGGTAATAAGTTTTATGAATTTTTAATATATATTGTTGTTTTTCACATTCTCCAATTATTTTCTTTCCTGAATTCACTCCTCTCATTTAAATACCCCTGGATCATCTTTTCATGAATGTTTAAACCTTTAATAACGTAAGCCTGGGATTTTCATAGACACCTGTTGCATTTTTCCTTTTATCAACTCTTACCTTTCCATTTGATCCATCTATTTAAAAACCCATGCTCTTTATTAGCGCCATTTTCTTTTTTTAATGAGAGCTGCCATGACAAAATGATTCTGATCTCAAAAATATGTAAAATGAGAGTTTTTATTTCTGCTAATTTGTTCTGTTAATAATTTTTAAAGTATATCCTAACAGATTATGCCTTTTAGTATAATACTTCTATGGTACTAATAAAAGGAAAAAAGCACTATATATATCAGGTGATAATATTTTTTTATAAAATTGTAGAAAGCACTATAATAAATACAAATATTTTATTCCTTAATTTGTGGATGAATTCACACACACCTACCTTTAAAAAAAACAAAACAAAAACTTTGTTTATAATGCCTCTTTATTTCTGCTTACTAGTACATGGTATATTTGACCCTTAAGTAACATGGGTTTAAACTGAATGGGTCTGCTGGTACAGGGATTTTTTTTTTCCCCCACAATAAACACATACCACAGTACTACATGGTCCTCAGTTGGTTGAATCTGAGGATGCGGAAGGCTGACTGTAAAGTTATATTCCTGTTTTTGGCTGCACAGAGGTTGGTGCCCCTAACCTACACATTTTTCAAGGGTCAGCTATAAATGCTAATGAATAAAAATAGACCTGCAAAGTTTAAAACACTTGACAATATTTTGTTAAAATTAAATAATACAAAACTTTTGACAGTAAATATCAGCAATCCCTCTGGGTGGGTAGTAGTCCCTCCGAGACATTGATGCCTACAAAGTTTAAATACTGCTAACATCACAGTTCTCTTAGATTTGCCTGATGCATGTTTACATCGTAACATGTTACCATTCAAATTTTGTCTTTCATTGACTGATAGAAGGTCACACTTTTAATAGTAGCATATGCCCATAAGGCAGTTTTCCTCAGAATCTCTCAGAAAAGATGTTGCTTTAAATCCTACTGAGCCTGTTGTATTAAAAGATGCTCTCTCATTGACCTTATTTTTAATAAAGTGCCATTTCAGAAGATATTAGCCTGAAAAGACATCAAATCTCAGTGGGTAATAGTTTTGGATACAGATTAAAGGATGTGTGACAGAATTGATTTTTTTAAAAAGAAACAAAGGGATTTAAAAAGGAAAGAAGCAGCAAACAGATGAATTGATGAGTGTGGGGGAATTCACCCTACATTTGCTAATGTTGGCTATTCTTAAGAATAAACAAATCTTTAGAAAAAAAAGAATAAACCTGAAGGAAGCAGTTCAGCAGAAGTACTTGCTAATTAAAGTTTTAGATATATGCCTGTACGATGAATGAAAACCAAGACCTTTCCTGATAGTATACAAGTGGAAATTTTAGCTTAGGAGAAAAATAGCATTATGCACAATTCTGAAATAATACACATTTCACCTTGGAAGATGAAATGCTCTAGAAACTTACAAAAAATGGTTCTGGTATATCCATGCAAAGACATGTACATGACTGTTCATAGCAGCAATATTCATAATAGCCAAAAAGTAGGAACAACCAAATGTCTGTTGAATATACAAGCAAAAAATAGAAGAAGCCCATAAATAATGTTCAGCAATAAAATGGCATGAAATATTGATAAATACTATAAGGTGAATGAGCCTCAAAAATGTTTTGCTGGGAATTCCCTGGTGGTCCAGTAGTTAGGACTCAGGCTTTCACTACCAGGGGCCTGGGTTTAGTCCCTGCTCGGGAAACTACCGCAAGCTACACAGCACAGCCAGGAAAAAAAAGTTACACTCAGTAAAAGAGGCTGAAAACCACATCCCACATGATCCCATTTATATGAAAGAGCCAGAAAAAGCGGAGCCTTCCATGGAAGGGAGCATATGACTGCAAATGGGCACCAGGCATTTTTAAGCGGCTCTTGTGGTACCAGAAACATTGATAATAGAGTTTAAATACTGTTTCAGGTAAAGTGAAAATGGGTAAAAGCAATACTTTTAATTAATGTAGTTTTAGATAATTATTTTAAATATGAGTTAAAATGTAATAAATATTAATGAACTTATTTAAAAAACAGACTCACAGACATAGAAAACAAACTACTGGCTACCAAAGAGGAAAGAAGTGGGGGGTAAATAAGGAGAAACAAGGTCCTACTGGACAGCGGAGTACCATATATTCAGTAGATTGTAATAAACTGTAATGGAAATGAAAAAATGTAACAAATGTTAAAAATGTTTTATTATTTCTTCTGTGTTGAAAGGTTTATATATTTAGAATTATAGGGGAGGTTTTTTTAAAGAACCGCTTTATTTCAAGTAATAAACAAAACTCTAGTCATAACACAATAAACAAACCCTCCATCACTTCTTCACAGTTACTCCAAGGAACAAAACCTCTGACTTAATTAGAATTTACAGTTAACCTTAAATATTTAAAATATATCTGTGTCAATTTCATAATTTTAATCTTGCCAGATACTTTGAAATAGAGCAAACTTTGATTGATGGTCAAATCTGAAAGACAAGAAGACATTATTGTCACCTGAACAGTTCTATTGGGATATTAACTTAAAAAAAAATACTGTATACTAACTCAAGTTATTTTTCTGTCTTTAAATGCCAGCTGCCTAGTGATGCTTAAGGAAGATAATTACAACTGTGTGTTTTAAGCCAAATAAATATATATTAACAAAACTATGTTGAAGATCTTATTTCTACAAAATTATTGGATTTACAATGTAATAATGTAGGTTTATACTTTTTTTTAGGACCGAGAAAAAAAAAGAAAAGAAACTTTGATGACTCCAACGTATTTGTATCTGCTGAAGAGGTAAGACTAATGTATTGTTTTAAGCACTTAGCTGTTCTATGTTGTTTTTTAAGTTCTCTAATAAATTTACTTCCCGCCACCCCACCCCCCCAACTTCTTTTTAAGTTTGGCCACCTGTTGGATGAAAATATGGGATCCAAGTTTGATAACATTGGCATGAATGCCATGGCTAACAAAGATAATGCAAGTAAGTAACTTGGATTTTTATTGAGGTTTTAAAATAGTCTTAAGTTATAATTTCTGAAGATCTAAATATTTTTGGAGGACCTTTTGAGAGTTAGTAGGGAAAAATGATTCCTTACAAACTGGAAGGAATGACTTTTTCACCTCTGTCTGCAGAGCCTGTGGGATTAAAAAGTACAGCAAAAAAGACTATAGCCTACAAAAATTATTTTTTTTTTAATGGAGGCAGGCTATTTTTATGTAGTATAAATTTGCTAAGTAACTTTATAAATATTTTATACACCTTTTAATTATTTCTGATATTGATAGTTAACTGGCTGCTCTTCTTTCACCAGTAAGTGCTCGGGAAAAAGACAATCTTTAGAGCATTTGTTCCTTTCCTGTCCTAGTTTATTTGTAAGTAAATCTTTGATGATAAATACAGAAAGAAAGCAACGGACAAGCAGGGGTTTGTGGAACAGATGGGACATGACCGTAGGCCACGGCAGACTGGAAGCTGCTGTCCCTCAGAACAAGCAGGGGTTTGTGGAACAGATGGGAAGTGACCGTAGGCCACGGCAGACTGGAAGCTGCTGTCCCTCAGAACAAGCAGGGGTTTGTGGAACAGATGGGAAGTGACCATAGGCCATGGCAGACTGGAAGCTGCTGTCCCTCAGAACAAGCAGGGGTTTGTGGAACAGATGGGAAGTGACCGTAGGCCACGGCAGACTGGAAGCTGCTGTCCCTCAGAACAAGCAGGGGTTTGTGGAACAGATGGGAAGTGACCGTAGGCCACGGCAGACTGGAAGCTGCTGTCCCTCAAGATGTCCTCTGGAGGCCCTAAGAATCTACAGCGTGCTCATCTCTCTTCTCCCCCCTCAAAGGTCTCAAACAGCTTAGATGGGAGGCTGAACGTGATGACTGGTTACACAACAGAGATGTGAAAAGCATCATCAAGAGGAAGAAAAATTTCAGAAAGAGGCCAAAAACCACTCAAAAAAATAAAAGGCAAAGAAAATGAGTGTTTTCTAAATAAATTACAAAGTAAAATTCCACTTACGCCTAATTTTTACTGCTCAGCCATTTTTCTTGATCTTGCTCTCTGATTCCATACATTCCAGAGTGTTCAATGGATTTGTAATAAACTATAAATAAAATAGCTGTCATTTATAAAATCATGTAAAAGTATTAAACTATACTGAGAAAAAAAAATCAAGCTTTTCCCCCTTATTTCTGCACTGTCATTTATAAAATCATGTAAAAGTATTAAACTATACTGAGAAAAAAAAATCAAGCTTTTCCCCCTTATTTCTGCACAATAAAGTGAAAAAGACGACAGGATACATATGTTGTGTGTAAGCTCTAGCATCTCTAATCTCTACTAATTCTTGTAATGAACACTATTAACTAAGCATTACTTTATACCAGATACTGTTCAAAGTAATTACATAACATTATCTTTTTTAATCCTTATAACAATTCATGAGATGGGCATTATTATCTCTACATGATGGAGAAAGAAAAAGCTCCAAGAAGGTAGCAAACCAGATGTGAGTTTTAAGCAGTGATTTGATTCCCATCACCCTCAGATAAGTCTCATTCCAAAGTCTACATTCTTAACCCACTGGAAGAATTAAGAATCCAGCCCATCACTGGGATTAACTCATTGGGTAACTGCAATGAGAATTTTCTCCACTGTGTTCTTCAAAAGTAGGGAAAATAGAGATGAACAGTATTTTTGGAAACTGACATTTAAAAAAAGTGATTTAACTCTTAATTGGTCATAAATAATTTGTAAAGGTTACCTGAAGAACTTGCTTTGTACACACACATTTTACTTAAGGAAAAACATACCTTCTAAAATGAAGGGGAATTTTTTGCTCATTGTATGCCTGAAATCTAATGAAAAAAAAAAAGTCTTAAAATTAGGCATGATTAGAAATTCACTGCATTAACACGTGGAGCCATAATTTAGTGCTAGCCTTAGGGTCTGTAAGATAGGAATCCTATAAATTAGAGAAACTGTATCTTTTTAAAATAGGGTCAAAACTGCACTTTATAGGTAGTCTTCCATAGTTATTTTGGAGTTTCTAAGATTTGACCTATATATATGATGTAATTTATCTCAAAATGGTGTTTTAAAAGCAGATTTTCAGTGTTAATGTGAAATTCCCTTGTGTAATTTTATGAACTGTTTTATGGGTGCCATTTTACCTTGATAGAGAATTAGAAATAAGACTGTACTACACTGAATTTTTGAAGTTGACCTTAAACCTTAGTTTGCTTTTAAACACCATTTGTATGTTTTCTTTTATACCCTTATGTCCTTAAAGATAAATGACAGGTTTCAAAGATGGCCAGCACCCGGACTACTATTCCCTGCTTGAGAAAGGGAAGTAGCACTTGCTGAGTTTAAAAGTTGAGGCTATAATACGGAATTTCCCCACAAAATGTCAGAGCACTTTCAGTGATGGCCAGTGGCGTAAGAAAGGCTTTTAGTGCCTGATGCTGAAGAAGAGGAAGAACTCTAACCTGCGCAACTGGTTACCTGACACTTCAGCTCTGCCACTTGTTTTCTCAGCTTGTCAAACAATGAGGTGTAATGGACGGGCTGGGTTTTTTCCATCTATACTCCCAAACTAACCCAGACCAAGGATACTTACTCCCATTGGGAGTATTGGGAAAATCCATGTAAGTATGAAACAATTTCCTTAGTCTAAAGACATCTAACTTTTGGCGGTGGGGGAGAAGTCAGTCATTTATTCTGTAATACCAATAATTAACACCTAACTTCTTCCCCTTGTGCCCATAAAATGCCTAATACATTGACTCTGAAGAAGCAGTTTCTCCAAAAAAGACATTTAACCTAAACTGTGTTAGTGAACTGTACACCCCCCTAAAAAACACTGTAATTTCTGAATTATGATTACCTTGGCTTGTGTTCATCTTATTAAACAAAAAATATGCTCCAAAAACGCCCATAAGTTCAGCTACTAATACTCCTTTAAAGATCTTCTTTGCCAGTGGATCCATAGAACGGGACATCCTAAGTTTAACAAATAAATGTAAACCTGAATAAACATATTCAAATTTAGTAACACTGAACTTCAGTACATTTCAATAGTTTGAATGATTACATAGGAATAAAACCCCAAAGTTAGTGTATCCAAGTTGTATTAGACATGTCTCACTTTCCTAGTTTTCAATCTCCATGCCTAAGGTGCACAGTGAACCAGAGACATGATTAGAGAAAGCAGAGAGGAGACAAAATTGAAGGCATTGTGAAAACTAAATTTATGGAACTAAGATTTTTAAACTGCCTAAGAATATAGAATGGTGGGAGATAAGAGTAAATCTAGAGTAAATCATTTTAGCTGAACTAGGAATTAAGTTCTAATAAGCATGATATGTGGAGTTCTTTATGAAGCAGCCTACAAAAGCAAGATTATTCTGTAAGTGGTTATATCAATACATGTTTTATAGCTGGAAGCTTTCATTTATGTAATATATTGAAGTATGTGCTATAGTTCTGGGCATTTTATATAAAGATGAGCAATAAACTGGTTCTTGCTCCTAAGGAGTTGCTATTCTAAGTTTTTTCAAACTAATCACATCACCCAAAAGGCTTGTTAAAAATGCACATTCTTTGTTGACTTCCCTGGCAGTCCAGTGGTAAAGACTCCATGCTTCCAGTGCCGGGGAAGCACGTTCAATAATTGGTTGGGAAACTTAAGATACCACGTGCCATGAGGCAAAGCAAAAAAATAAAAAGCATATTCTTGGGACTCAACAGGCAATTCCCCAATCCCCATATCTGATTCAGCAAGTCTAGGGTTGGCGCCCCATGACCTGCCCTTTTACAGACAACTCAAAGTGACTTTTATACAAGAGGCTCCTGGACCACGTGGGGGAAACTCTGACCACGATCACCCACTAAGTGGCAAGACTAGACTTCAACTCTTGATTCTCTCCCTGTATTATAAAATAAAAGCCCATCAGAAGAAAGTGCTTGAGCCTTTATTCTTTCACGAAGGTAAAAGCTAACAAGGAAAGATCTATATAACAAGAAAATAGCATATATGACTCTCACTGAATAAATGAAATATAGACCAAAGTTTTTACTCTGCCTCAACGTCAAGAAGCCCAGGAGAACCAGTGGTTTTTAAACTCAGGATTTCAGCATTGTCCTGTGTATGCCCTTTCACACTTCCATTCTCTGTGTGAAGTGGCACAACCTGTAATACTCCACAGCCCCAGCTCTCCTCTCATTCCACTCAATTTTGGCTCCAACAGTCTGAGGCTGGGGGTAATTAAACACTGGACTTCAGTAGGATTATCCTACTAATATCCTTACCAGGTGTACCTCCCACCCCACCCCCAAGATCCCTTCTCTCATTTTGATAATGTGATCACCCTGAGGCCTAAAAGATTATAAAACTTTATTATTCATACCTAAGAGAAATGAAGCAGAAGTTAAAAACTTACACATAACTAACAGGCAGTGAGGGAGTAGGAAGGAAGATTTGTTTTCCTTTGTCTACTGCTAAACATTACATTATGGGCTGTGCATTGCAGGCCTCCCTGGTAGCCCAGCTGGTGAAGAACCCACCTGCAATGTGGGAGACCCCAGTGTGATTCCTGGGTTGGGAAGATCCCCTGGAGAAGGGATAGACTACCCACTCCAGTATTCTTGGGCTTCCCTGGTAGCCCTGGTGAAGAACCCACCTGCAGTGTGGGAGACCCCAGTGTGATTCCTGGGTTGGGAAGATCCCCTGGAGAAGGGATAGGCTGCCCACTCCAGTATTCTTGGGCTTCCCTGGTGGCTCAGCTGGTAAAGAATCTCCCTCCAATGTGGGAGACCTGGGTTTGATCCCTGGATGGGAAGATCCCCTGGAGGAGAGACAGCATGGCAACCCATTCCAGTATTCTTGCCTGGAGAATCCCCATGGACAGGAGCCTGGGGGTAGCCTGTAGTCCATGGGATCCCAAAGAGTCAGACATGACTAACAGGCTGTACATTTACTGCCACGAAATAAGCCATAACCAGCACAGGACCTATCTTGGGGTTATTTTTTAATGTTCAAGTGGTGAAAAAAAACCAAAACAAACCCACAAAGCCAGCCTTGCAGCCAGATCCAGAGAGTAAGGAATTCAAGTTGAATTCTGTTTTGTTAGGAAAGCAAGGATAAAGATTCAAAAAAGTAAAGTCCATAAATAAATTTTTAAAAGACAAGGAAAAAAGTAAAGTTCAAATAACACTGTAAACCATTTACCTTTCTTAAAAACAGACATATGTACATTTCACATTTCAAGTCCCTCAGCTTCAGAAAAGGTGTTCAACTGATAAACAACTGATAAAACCAATTTAATGAACACCAAAGGCATACCATTCCACGACAGGTTACTAACTGGTGGAGATGGAATAAGATTAGACAACATTTTTTGGATAATGGTGGAACTCAGGTGACATTTTAAAATAAACCAGTCCTGAGAGTTCCCTGGTGGCCTAGTGGTTAGGATTCCGAACTTTCACTGCTGTGGCAGGGGTTTAATCCCTGCAGCTGAGATCTGGCAAGCAGGGCAAAGCCAAAAATAAATAAATAATAAAGCAAGCATATGGTGGGCTGGGAAAAAAGCTGGGCTGTGAGTCATAAGGTTAACATTACGCAGGGCTGAGACGCTAACTCCGGATGCACAAGCTTAAGACAAATAAGCATGTTGCCTCCAAAAAATCCTCAGCTCTGCACCATAGCCGGCAGTGGACACCGCTCAGCGTCTCCAAACAACATTGCAAACAGCAAGGTCTTTCCTTCCTCTCTAGACAACAAGACTTCCCAGCTCTGACCCTGGATTCAATGCACAAAAGCAGCTTTTTCAAGTTTCCAGTGTCAAGAGCCAAGCAACCAACAAGGGCCCCCACGCGTGGTCTCAGGCTGGCTACCAGGGATCCTCAGCCCCTCGCGGCCCCCGCATCCCCGGTGCCCGGGCTCCTGCCATCTCCCCAGCTCCCGGGTTCTTCCCGACCCGCCGGGACTCCCAGCACACTCCGGCCCGGCCCGGTGCCCACACGCACGCTCAGCACACGGAGCACTGCCCAGTCGCCGGGCCAAGGTCACCGAGCGACCCGGAAACACTCGGGTCCGCCCCTCGGGCACACGAACACAGTCACCGAATGTCCTCTTTATGATACCAGAACTCGGCCGTGGTCCCTACAAACCTCAGCCCTCCTCCTCGCTCTGGGGAGACCCTGTTGGGTGCGGAGAGCTACAGCCAAAGACCTAGCAAGAGGCCTGCACAAGTACCTTACCTGAGGCGCGGACCCGCGGGGCTGCGCACGCGCAAAGTCTGGCAGAGCCCGCCCCTCCCTGGCGTTGGCCCCGCCCCCAGACCGTAATTACCGCTTTCTGTGCTCTCACTACCCTGGTGTCTCAGCCTCAAAGAACCTGCCTGCAATGCAGAAGATACAGGAGACACAGGTTCGATCCCTGGGTCAGCAAGCTCCCCTGGAGAAGGGCATGGCAATCCATTCCATTATTCTTGCCTGGAGAGTCCCATGGATAGAGGAACCTGGTGGGCTACAGTCCATAGGGTCGCAAAGAGTCGGACACGACTGAAGCGAATTAGCAGGCACTTAGCAGGCACGCACGTGCTCTTACTAAAAGTCGGTCCTGACTGGAGGCTACTTACATTATTTTACTTAATCTTCCACAATTCTGTGTCATAAAAGGTACTGTAAGTATCTCTTTTTACACAGCTAGGAAGAGCTGGAAAAGACATATGTTAAGGCTGTATGCATATTGTCACCCTGCTTATTTAACTTCTATGCAGAGTACATCATGTGAAATGCTGGGCTGGATGAAGCACAAGATTGCCAAGTGAAATATCAATAACCTCAGGTATACAGATGACACCACCTTTATGGCAGAAAGCAAAGAGGAATTAAAGAGCCTCTTGATGAAGGTGAAAGAGAGTGAAAAAGTTGGCTTAAAACTCAGCATTCAAAAAATGAACATCACAGCATCCGGTTCCATCACTTAATGGCAAATAGAAAAAAAAAAGGCAAATAGATGGGGAAATAATGGAAACAATGACAGACTTTATTTTCTTAGGCTCCAAAATCACTGTGGACAGTGACTGCAGCCAAGAAATTAAAAGACACTTGCTCCTTGGAAGAAAATCTATGACAAACTTAGAGAGCATATTAAAAAGCAGAGACATTACTTTGCTGACAAAGGTCCATATAGTCAAAGATATGGTTTTTCCAATAGTCATGTATGGATGTGAGAGCTGGACAGTAAAAAAAAAAGCAGAGCGCTGAAGAACTGATGCCTTCGAACTGGGGTGCTGGAGAAGACTCATGAGAGTGTGGGCAAGATTGAAGGCAGGAGGAGAAGGGACGACAGAGGATGAGACAGTTGGATGGCATCACCGATTCAATGGACATGAGTTTGAGAGAGCTCTGGGAGATGGTGAAGGACAGGGAAGCCTGGCGTGCTGCAGTTCATGACGTCTCAAAGAGTTGGACACGACTGTGCAACTGAACAACATGAGCTAGAACTTGGATTTGAATCCAGGACAGTAACTGGAAAGTCTGTGCTCAATTCTTTTCTACATCCTGCAACCCAAAGTGTGAACCAGCAACACTGGCATCACCTGGGAGCTTGTTAGAACTGCAGATCTATTGAATCAGAATCTGCATTTTAGCCAGATCCCTAAGCAATTCATTTCTAATTCAAAATTTGAGAGTCACTGACTGTACTGCTTGTAGATCAGAGAAGGAAGATGGGGCAATGAAAGCTTGGAAGGGAGAGGAGGAGGAGAAAATGAATTTAAAGATCTGCGAAGGTTCCATGTTGTTGAACAGCATCCAGCAGGCCTAAGACTTGTAGTTGCCTGAGACAGAATCTGGAGACAGTAACAGAGACATCAGTGTTTCACAGCCAAAAAACCAAAACACAAAACAGAAGCAATACTGTAAGAAATTCAATAAAGACTTCATAAAAATGGTCCACATCAAAAAAAAAAATCTTAAAGAGCAGAAATTAGAGGGTTGGAATTAACATATACACACTGCTGAGTCGGTCAGTTGTGTTCAACTCTTTGTGACCCCATGGACTGTAGCCCACCAGGCTACTCTGTCCATGGAGATTCTCCAGGCAAGATTACTGGAATGGGTTGCCATGCCCTCCTCCAGGGGATCTTCCCAACCCAGAGATCAAACCCAGGTCTCCCACATTTCAGACTGATTCTTTACCATCTGAACCACCAGGGAAGCCCAACATATAAACATTACTACATATAAAATACATTACCAGCAAGGACCTAACGTTTTAGCACAGGGAACTATAGTCAATATTTTGTAATAACCTATGAGGGAAAAGAATCTAAAAAAAAACCAAAAAGATATATATGTATGTAGAACTAAATGATTTTGCTGCACACCTGAAACTAATACAACTGAATAAAAAGGAAGAAATTAGGAGCTCATAAATAAACACTTCAATTAAAAACAGATACTTCAATTAAAATAAGTCCTTCAATTATGTACTTAATAAAAAATACCTCAATTAAAAACAAACAGGTACCTAGGAAGTTTGCTGTCCATTCTCTCACGGACACCTCAGAGGAAGACCAGCTAGTCAATCTGGTGGAATCCTCAAGTTGAATCCTTTCAACTAGCTGACATGAGGCAGCAGAGATGAGTCCAGATAATCCACTGCTGCTGGTTGCCAAAGCGCACCTACTGGATAGAAAGGCCAGGATGTTGGTGACGGCCCAGCCTTCCCTTCAGATGGCCCAGGACACAGAGCAGTGGGGAGCTGTGGCTCTGTGAGGGAGCGGGGGGTGGAGGGTGGGGGCACTGTCCCTGAAGCAGGGGCAGCAGGGGCAGAATCTCTGTTCTGCCAGCTGCCGCCCTCTGGAGGGAGTGGCTCTCCCATCACCCTCAGCCTAGGAGACCAAAGTGTTACCAGATACAGCATCCTGGATCCCGAACATTTCCAGCATCCACTAACTCATGGACTCCATCCTGACTTCCTGATGTCAGCTTCTGAGAAGGGGAGCCAGTTTTTAGTAAACTCTGCAAATACAGAGGTTACTCCCTCTCCCTACATATTGGATTCCAAGGTAAATGTCCATCTTGAACTGCCCTGGAAGTAGAACATCTCTTGCTAAAGAAGAGGGTGGCAGTGGGGGAGGAAACACAACATAATCTGAAGGGGCACCCCAAGAAAGACAGCACAGGAAGGATCAGTTTCAGTTCAGTTCAGTTCAGTTCAGTCTTTCAGTCGTGTCCGACTCTTTGTGACACAAAGGCCTCCCTGTCCATCACCAACTCCTGGAGTTTACTCAAACTCATGCCCATCGAGTTGGTGATGCCATCCAGCCATCTCATCCTCTGTCGTCCCCTTCTCCTCCTGCCCCCAATCCCTCCCAGCATCAGGGTCTTTTCCAATGAGTCAACTCTTCGCATCAGGTGGCCAAAGTATTGGAGTTTCAGCTTCAGCATCAGTCCTTCCAATGAACACCCAGGACTGATCTCCTTTAGGANTACCTGTTTCTACCAATTGACCCAGCCTTGGGTCAATCGACACATGGGAGCCCTCTGCTATCTAATCGCTGCTTTGCTCATCAGTCTTGATTTCAATCACCTTAGACTTTAAAAAAAGTCACCTGTACTCTGGGTGGGTGGGAGTGTCTGTGTGTGTGTAAATTCATAGCCTGGGGAAAAAAATTAAAGGAAAAGAAGGTAAGAGGGACCAGTCTTTTTAAACTGAAGGAAAGGAGCTTCATATAAACCTCCCAGACCCAGCACAGGCAAGAGCCAGTACCATCTGAGAGGTCCAGCACCACTTGCTTCAGGCCTGGATGGATCCAGGAGCTGAACAGGAAGCTGGGATTTTGCAGAACCAGAGGTCCACCTGCAAATGCATCACCTAATCCCGGTTATTCTGCAATCATGCATGCCAGACAATTAAGAGTCATGTAAGGTTGACAGGTTGCCCTGAGCTTAGGGGGACTAACAAAAATCAGACCTCACATTACCAATTCCAGACAGCTCCTAAATCTTCCTAATCACAGGCATTAGTATCAGAACAGGATCCAGTCACTTTTTTTTAATGTCACTGTTTGAATTAATGTCTTAAATTCTACCTTCCCTAGGGAAAAAAAAAAGCTCTTCACAATGTAAGAGATAATCCCACTAAGCCACTTGGCAATGAGTCCAGTCTTACACCTTTTCTTTTTTGGGGGAGGGAGATTCTGAAATACACAACGTTCCCACCTACACTGAATAACGTCCTATTATTATGTAAGGTAATAAGACCTTCAAGGGGTAGTGCTGTATGGAAACAGAAAAACAGGACTTCCCTGGTGGTGCAGTGGATAGAAATCCACCTGTCAGCGCAGGGGACGTGTGTTCAATCCCTAGTCCGAGAGGATCCTAGTCCAGGAGGGTCCCACGTGCCACGGAGCAATGAAGCCTGTACGCCACAACTACTGAGCCATGCTCTCGGGCCTGCGCCCCACGAGAGAAGCCACTACAATGAGAAGCCCGTGCACCGCAACTAGAGGGGAGCCCCCGCTCTCCGCAGCCTGAGAAAGTCCGAGCACAGCGAAAGCCCGGCACGTTCAAAAATAAAAATAAAGATGAATAAATAAATAAAATAACAATTTTAAGAAGAAATAGAAAAATAGCAAGACTCAAATAATTTAATTTTACAAACTTAAAAAAAATCACAAATATAATGAAATCTAGCTACTCATTCTTAACTCTGAAGCCTCTTGGGTCAATTCTTTCCCTTTGGTAAAAAAGAGATGAAAACTTCCTCTCCCACATCCACCAGCTGCCTCACTGAGACACTTTCTGTTGACCGGTATAACTTCCTCAACCCTATGATGTACATCCAATTCTGAAATTGGAATGCATCTCACAATCAATGGATACATTTAATACTGTGTTTATCCCCAAATGCTGTTATTGAATATAATGTTCTAGAATCCAGGGAATTTATTTCCCTTGTGGTCATAAAAATCTGTCTCCTTAGGAGGTAAGTTTTTTTTTAACCGCGTGTCCGTTCACTTCCCACAATCCCTCTCGCTAGCATCCATCTTGGCTGAGCGATGCGTGCGCCACCAGGAAAGACTCTGAATTAGAATGATTGGCCAAAGACCACCCGGAAACTAATCCCATCACCATAACACCCAAGGCTGCGAGCCACGCGGCAGAGCAGTTCTCCTGGTTCCCTTACCCTCCTGCTCTCCACCCGGGTGCCCTTTCCCAGTAAAATCTCTTGCTTTGTCAGCACATGTGTCTCCTCGGACAATTCATTTTTGAATGTTAGACAAGAGCCCAGTTTTGGGCCCAGGAAGGGGCCCCCGTTCCTACAACAAAATCATCCATGTAATGTTACCAGTTTGGCAGGATGTCAGCTACATACAGGTAATCAAGAATGTTGGGTATTATTTTAATTTATATATTGATATGAATGACTGTAGCAGCTGGGTAATGATGCACAACTAGGAGTTAACTTCAGTGTTAGCATGAGTTTAGAGAAAGGCAAATATGGTTTTTAAAAAATTATGTTCATAGGGCTACAGGAAAAAAAAATGGAGAAAGAGTAAGGAGAAAGATTTGGAGAAGAGAATGTGAGAAAGAAGAAAAAAAAAGCTCACTAGATGTTTATAGAAAGTCGACTTAAGAAGAAACCAATGAGAATACATTTTGACCCAGAAAGTATACTAGACAAGATGTATGCTAAACTGCTGAGACAAAGAGACTGCAAAAATCCAGTGGCTGCCACAAGATAGGCAATTGTATTCTTTTTTTTTTCCATTTATTTTTATTAGTTGGAGGCTAATTACATCATTGAGGCAATTGTATTCTTGCACACATGAAATTGGTTCTATGTAGGGTGGGTGATGGGATGGTGATCCACCACATGTTCAGTTCCTGTATCTCGTTGGTCTACCATCCCCTAGAGGGCTGTTTTTTTCTGAATTAGCAAGTCTGGCTTACCAGCATCATGTCTGTCCTCCAGGTGTAGGAACGGGGAGAGAGAAAAATTAGAGAACAATCAACTTTCTGAGTTGCAGGTCCTGAACAAAAGTTTGTACACACTCCTTCCACTCAGCTCCCATGAGCCCCAGGGCCACACCAAGCTGCAAAGGAGGTGGGGATAATAGTCCAATTCAATCAAAGGAAAAAGAAGAGAGTGTTGCTGGGGAAAAACTATGTCACAGAGAGTGAGCGTCTCACTTCAAGGACCTTGAACCAGCAGGACAAGAACTTAGAGGATGGGAGACACCATTATATTGTATGCTTCCCTTGACAAAGCATCTCCCTTCTAGGAATCATACATATCTGTTGTCAAATAGGTCAGCTGTTATTATCCCTCTTTTATATATACCTCTGAAGGTATATTATGAGTTCAAAATAGCACAACTAATCATCATCAAAAGGTGCACAAATACAAATGCTGGAGAGGGTGTGGGGAAAAGGAAACCCTCCTACCCTGTGGGTGAGAAGGGTGCAGCAACTAGAGAAGAGTATGGAGTTTCCTTAAAGAAACAGAAATAGTTTCTATGCGATCCAGCCATCTCACTCCTGGGCATATAACTGGAAAGAAGGAAAACTCTAATTTGAAAAGATAAGTGCACCCCAAAGTTCATAGTAGGACTACGTACAATAGCCAAGATGTGGAAGCAAACTAAGTGTCTATTGACAGGTGAATGGATGAAGAAGATGTGGTATATATATCATGGAATACTACTCATCCATAAAAGAATGAGCTATTGCTAACTGCAGCAACACTGATGGACCTAGAGATTATCATATTAAGTGAAGCAAATCAAAGACAAATATCACATGATATCATGTGTATGTGGAATCTAAAAAAATGGTACAAATGAACTTATTTACAAAACAGAAAGGAACTCACAGATATAGAAAAACAAACTTAGGGGGACTTCCCTGGTGGTCCGGTGGCTAAGACTTGTCACTCCAAATGCAGGGGGAGCCGGTTGGATCCCTGGTCAGGAAACTAGATCTCACATGCCACAGCTAAGACCAGCACAGTTAAATAAATTAATTAATTAAAAAAAAAAAAAAACTTATGGTTACCAAAGGGAAAGGGGGAGGAGAGAGGGATAAATTAAGAGTTTGGGATTAGTATATATACACCACTATTCACAAAGTGAACAAGGACCCTGTATAGCACAGAGAACTATTTTCAGTATCTTATAATAACCTATGATGGACAAGAATCTGAAAAAAGAACTAAATCACTTTGCTGTATACTTGAAACTAACACAACACTGTAAATCAACAATACTTCAATAAAACAAAGTAAACAAACACAAATAAGTGGTAGAGCTGAGATTCAAACTCAGGTCTGCAGTCTTCTAAGTCTACTGGCAGGAAATGACAGATACGAGTTGGGTGCCTCTTTCTGCCCCACTAACTTACTGGGCAATTCCATCACTTCCTTGTCACTGAAGGAAACCAGGTTTTGCCATCTTACATGCCACGTTGGCATGAGGATAATTTTGAACTAAAGTGAAATCGTTCAGTCGTGTCCAACTCTTTTCAACCCCATGGACTGTAGTCTACCAGGTTCCTCTGTCCATGGGATTTTCCAGGCATGAATACTGGAGAGGGTTGCCCTTTCCTTCTCCAGGAGATCTTCCCGACCCAGGGATTGAACCCGGGTCTCCTGCATTGTAGGCAGACGCTTTACCGTCTGAACCACCAGGGCAGTCTTCAATTACCTGATGGCCTTTTGAATCTGCCTATTATAATGGAACACCCAGTAAGTACGTAATTTTGTTCATTTTTTCTCCTGTTGACCAGTCTTACATCAATTTAATATTGAACTAAAGGCAATTAAAAAACCCAGCCAATTAAGGAAAGGCTCTTTACCTCCCCCTTTAATTACCTAAATTTACATTGGAAAGAAGGGCTGTATCAGGAAGATACCTATTACCAGGGATATATTTTTATCCAAAAAGCTCATCTGCAGAACAGGGCAACCCTAGTTTTCCAAACATCTCCTCTGCCTTCCTGTGAGTCGCTTTCCTCCTCCTATTGCTTTCCTAAACCCCTGTTAATAAACAGGATGTTATTTAAACTTCGATTACCTGATGACTTTTTGAGTCTGCGTGATGGAACACCCATTAAGTATGTAATTTTGTTTGTTTCTTCTCCTGTTGATTGGTCTTATATCAATTTAATTATTAGACCAGGCACAGAAAGTAAAAAGGAAAAAGGGAAAAATTTTACACCCTGCATCACACCATGGGGTGTGATGTAAATGTAAATGTAAATGTAAATGTAAATGTAATTTACATTACATTACATTACATTACATTACATTACATTACATTACATTACATTTACAATGTAAATGTAAATCATGCATTTACACCCTGATAGCTCAGTTGGTAAAGAATCCAGTTACAATGCAGAAGACCCCGGTTGGATTCCTGGGCTGGGAAGATCCACTGGAGAAGGGATAGGCTACCAGTATTCTTAGGCTTCCCTTGTGGTTCAGCTGGTAAAGAATCCGCCTGCAATGCAGGAGACCTGGGTTCAATCCCTGGATTGGGAAGATCCCTTGGAGAAGGGAAAGGCTACCCGCTCCAGAATTCTGGTCTGGAGAATTCCATGGAGAGTGGGACACGACTGAGCAACTTTCACGTTCACTTCACTTCACCCCATGGAGGATGCATGTGTAAAATTATCAACCAAGAAGAGAGGTTTCCTACATAAATTGCTTTTTTGCTAATACTAAAACTATACCTGATTGAATTAAATAACTATGTGTTAGACATTTAATATCTATTATTGTCTATTAAGAAAATCTACTCTTTCCTTGGGAGGGTTGCCTATACTGGTAATATAATCCACCTGTTGGGTAATATTCCCTGATCCTCAGCCTGTTTTGCACCTGCGGTGTGCCTTTTGTCAGAGGTGGGTATGCAAAAAGCCAGGGGTGGAGGTGGGTGAGAATTAAGTATTTCTTTCTCAAGTGAATGGGAGGAGCCCTTTATTCCACCTCCTGAAAACCCCCATTAAAAGCTGCCACTGCCCCAGACAACCACAGAGCAGGTTCTTTAGCAGGGAGCCAGAATGACTGCTAATTCCAAATTTATTGACTACATTGATGAAGCTTTGGAAAAATCAAAAGAAACTGTACTATCTCACTTGTTTTTCACCTATCAGGGGATTCCTTATCCAGTCACCATGTGCACCTCAGAGACTTTCAAAGCCCTGGACGCCTTTGAAGCCAGAAGCGATGACATAGTTCTAGCATCTTATCCAAAGTGTGGTAACTAACAAAACTTTTCTACAAGGGCACTTTTTCAGAGTGAGTAGGTGGGGAAGGTGCAAGGAGAAGGTGGGAGGAGGGCAGGTCATCTCATCTCTACGTGAAGCCAGAAAATGAGAGGAGGGTAGCTATGGTAGATCAGAGCAGAGCCTGTAAAATCAGTAACTAGAACTGGTAGATTTAGAAACTCCAGTGTCTGAGGGCTTCCCTGGTGGCCCAGTGTTAAAGAATCCGCCTGTGATACAGGAGACTCAGTTTCAATCCCTAGGTTGGAAAGATCCCCTGGAGGAGGGCATGGCAATCCACTCCAGTGTTCTTGCCTGGTGGACTACAGTCCATGGGGTCATAAAGAGTCCGACCGAAACTACTGAGCACGCATGCTACAGTGTCTGAGGGAGGAGGTCTGTGTGAAAAGAACAGGATGGATGATGAGTGTAGAAGGAGCCGTATGGTGGGGCAAGCAAACAGAAACAGGGCCCAGCTCCCATGGAGTACTCAGAATAGCCAAGATGTTCATCCCAATTTGTGACTGAAGACAAGCATGGGCTTGTCTATAAACATCTATGCCTTCCATGTACTAGGTTATTTTTCAGGATCAAACACCAATCCTCCTGTTTCTCAAGCCAGTTTTATAGTGGTCCTTCATCAGTGGAGGATAAGATGTTAAGAAACTAAATTACTCTATTTTATACCATCTACTTTTGATTTTTTTTTTTTTTTTCTTTTTGGCCACACTGGTTGGCATGTAGGATCTTAGTTCCCTGACCAGGGATCATACCTGCACCCCCACAGTGGAAGCGTGGAGTCTCAACCACTAGACCACAGGAAAGTCCTACTTTGATCATTTTTAACTGTTATTCCATCTCTGTTTGTTAGAGCCACCTCCATTTCATATTTTCTTTTTAATTGATGCTGTATTTTTATAAAAATCAAAATTACACATTTCTGTAGAAAATATTCATTAATTTAAGGTAAAATATATGATACACAATAAACAGCCATTTCTATACTATAACATTGTTCCGTAAAAAAGCAACTGCCTCTTGTTAAAGGAGAAATTTAAGAAACAAGATAATCTGATTTTTATACTGAAGTAAGTAAATGCTCTTTTCCATAAAGCTCTGCTTCTTTCCACAGCCCAGGTTATTTTCAATGCAGAAGAACCAGTTGTACATATCAGGGAATTGTTGTAGGTTTTCTTTTCCTTTTTTTCTTTTTTTTAGGCTGTAACATGGTCTGCAGGATTTTGGTTCCCAGAAAGAAAGTAGTGAAAGTGAAGTCACTCAGTTGTGCCCGACTCTTTGCGACCCCATGGACTATAGCCTACCAGGCTCCTCAGTCCATGGGATTTTCCAGGCAAGAATACTGGAGTGGGTTGCCATTTCCTTCTCCAGGGGATCTTCCTGATCAAGGGATCAAACCCAAGTCTCCCGCATTGTAGGCAGACGCTTTACCATCTGAGCCGATCAAACCTGGGCCCCCTCAAGCAGAAGCACAGAGTCCTAACCACTGGACTGCCAGGGAATTCTCTCATTGTAGATTTTAATTTTTATGATATGTATGTTTAATTAACATGCTTTTATTATATCAAGACTCCTTAATGAGCTTCAATTCTCTGATTTTTCTTATAGGTTCTAACTGGATTCTCCACATCATTAGTGAATTAATGTTTACTGATTCTAAACAAAAGTATGAATACCCAGAATTCCCAGTTCTTGAATGTGGGGACCCAGAAAAATATCAGGTTGGTACAAAAGAGCCATGAAACTTAGAGCAACTTATTCTAGAAAGTAGAATTGAGGGATTTTTTTAGTTTTGAGTTCAGAAAATACAACACTAAATAATTCGTTGTGTGCTTATCATATAATCCAAGCACTTTTCAGTAATTATTTCATTTTACTACAGAATCACCTTATCACTATTTACAAATGATTAAGTCATTAGTGTGTGTGTGTGAAGATAGTAACAGGTCATCCTACCTGTTATTATCTTATCCCATGTTATTACTCACCTTATCAATGTAACAAACTAGGGCCTGGATGTGAGGCAGGATATTGTTCTCCCTGCCAGGAAGGACAAGAAAAAGGGCGAGGAAGGATTTGCCTCAAGATTTTGGTGCTTGGACAGAACAGGGGAGAGGAGGACCATCCAGACTTAGACACACCAGAAACACATGTGGAAAGGGAAGACTGTATCCAACTAGAAACTGCATTCCCAGCAAAACTTAACAGAAGTGCTCACCAACAAAACTCCCAACAGGCAGACAGAACACAGTTACTAAAAATAAAGTCACTTGGGAGTTCAGAAAATTTCTGAAAAGAGATGGAGACACTTGCCAGGATGACAAATACAAACTTAAAAGTTGGATCCCAGTTGGAAGGAAACTTATTTCCATGGACTGGGCCGAAGTAATAGAAAAATATACTGTAAATGAGGTGTTCAGGGATTTCGGTTTTGAAGTCTTTTGATGTTTATGATTTATCAGAAATGTCTATTTTTCTCTTTGGGTATTTTTAAAAGCACTTTTTGCATTTTAATTGTCCCTCGTGGCTCAGCTGGTAAAGAATCCACCTGCAATGCGGGAGACGTGGGTTCAATCCCTGGGTTGGGAAGATCCCCTGGAGAAGGGAAAGGTTACCCACTCGAGTATTCTGGCCTGGAGAATTCCATGGAGTCCATGGAAGAGTCGGACACGACTGAGTGACTTTCACTTTTCATATACAGAAATAGTTTTCTAAGTAATGTGCCTTTTATTTTAAAATGGAAATAAGTGGAAAGATAAGCTTCATTTAATGGCTATTCACTTTATACAGAAAATTTTCCTAAAAAATATTTTTTTTTCTTAAGATATATCTATATTTCGACTTTACACTGCTTACAGTTGGCTATATCATGCGTTTTCATGAACATATAATTATACACTTACCTAGCTTTGTTACAATTAACCTCCATTTTCCCCCTGGATATTTTTTCTAACCCTTTTAAGGAACTTTGCCATTTCTCACATGTCTTAAAGAGATTTTTGGCCATGCAGTTTGGTGGAAATGGCACTCTATCACCTAATCTGAAAATTACCATCTGTGTGATTTTGCACAAAGGACTTAAAACCTCAAAGTCTCTCGTTAATCCTTAAAATGGGGGTTACAATATCTACCTGAGAGGATTATTGTGAATGAAGTAAAAGTACTTCCAAAACTGGAATCAAGAACAAGGACTACTAATCGTCACTTGGGCCCACAGCGTTGATTTTTAAAAATTTTATGTCAGTTTTTGCTCCCTTGCTTCAGTTGAGATCTCTAGTTAATTTTTCACAGAACCATTGGCTATAAATGTCTAAATATAATTTCATTGCTTGAAATGATGACCAGCATGGAAAAAAACACTGAAAGCATTAGCCCACCACAGAACATACACTAAAGGTCTGATTTTGAGATAAAAGCCTTCACCCTGTCTGATTAAACTGGAGCTTCATTTTGTAAATTACCAGTCGAAGTGGATTACAAAATCAAAAAGAATCAATCACAGAGTCCTTATATTGACAAGAATTTCTCTCATAAGATATTTCTCAGATATTTAAGTGACTCTGCACTTTCAGGTTCTGTTAGGATATTTGACTGCATGGAGTTTTACTGGTTTAAGAAAAAAAAGATCTAGATGTTAAAAATGAATTTGGAGGACCTATAGAAGACTTGAACATTTCTGTTCATGACTGAATGTAGAAAAGATCCACATTAAGTGAGAGAGGGAATTGCAGATTTTGAGCTGTCTTGAAGAAAATGATTTTGGGATGGCTGTGGGAAAACATACATTTTTCTTAAAAAAAAATGACAAAAAAAAAAAGACTGGGCAATGGAAAGCAGGACGGAAGAAGGAAGTTCGAAAGGAAGTTTTAAATTGCATATTTATTTGTTATTCTCCATTCCTCATCCCCCACAAAGAAAACAGAAATAAATAAAATCGAGAGGAGAATGTGGAAGAAGAATAGACACAGTAATAGTAATGACTGAAACTACTCTTCAGGTACTAAACCTAGGAGTGATTCCCTACACACACACACACACACACACACACAAACATATAAGCTTTCACCTTATTGTTTATATTTTTAAGAGAATGAAACAGCTTCCATCACCAAGGATTTTGGCAACTCATCTCCATTATGACAAATTACCTGGGTCCATCTTCAAGAACAAAGCCAAGGTGAGTGTCCCCTCCACTGGTATTATAATGTGAAGTTCTTCATGTATAGATATTGGCTTTCTGAGGTATAGGATGAGTTTGCTACTCATCAGAGAATTTTAATGAATAAAGTGTGCAGTCTGGTGTTTCTTTTGTTGTTGTTTTTCTTCAGATATATTGGCTATAGTTGCATTCAAATGAAATGTATTTTCAGCCAGGATATAAAACATATACATAAAGTAGCCCACCAGGCTCCACTGTCCACGGGATTTTCCAGGCAGGAATACTGGAGTGGGTTGCTATTTCCTTCCCCGGGGGATCTTCCCAACCCAGGGATCAAACCCGGGTCTTCTCTATTGCAGACGGATCCTTTACCGACTGAGCCACCAGGGACGCCCCTAACCCCGTTAGGTATTTGAATTCCACCAAGTGGCTGTCTGGACTGCTCACGTCTCCCATTACAAGGGACTCCTCTGTCCCCTCTGCTAGGTGTGGATGGCTCTGTAAAACAGTTTTTCTTTATACTGAGACTCTCCCAAATTGGAAATACCACTTTAATCCATAATTTTCCCAATTTAATGCAGTTCAGTAGAATCACCTCAGTGATTCTTTTTCCCCCCTTAATTATTCCATAAGACACAGAGCTAAAGTAATGTATAGAGCACTTGGATTTGGAGCAAGCAGCCTTTTGAACAAAGCTTTACTTTCACAAGAAAGCAGGGCAAGAGATGAACGACAGTTAAGGTAAGAAGTTGATACTGAGATTTTATCCATACACTCTAGCCAGCTAGCCTTCACCATGCTAACTTATGGCTTTGCAAAATTATAAATTGCTATGAGCCAGAGAGATTCCTGAGTGGTAATCAGAGCCCCAAATATAAGACCCTCAAGTGACAAGAATCTGCTGTATTTGGATTGGGGGCAGAGTTTTAGATCTCTGCCCCCAAACAAAGACATAGAGGAACACATTCATCTCTATTCAGTTGTATCCTACTACCGTCAGTTCACGTCTTTAGATTGATGAGCTGTTCTGAAATCCAGACTCCTTCTCACTTTCATGCCATCTACAAATTTGATAAATGAAGCTTCTATATCTTAACCTGAAATGCTCATTAAAATGTTGATGATGGTCTAGTCAGGACAGTTTTATTAAAAATCTCTGGGCAGTTTTACGTTAGTTTTTCAGCCTCCTTTGCATCAGTTTTATGTGCTTAAATGTTTCTGCTGCCGTCATGCCTTCTTCCATTTGCAGAGGAATTCATAAGCAACAAATCTACTAATTTAAGAACTATGTCCAAGAAAAAACTGCCATTAGAAATGACTTTTTCTTAGAGAAGCCGTGTTGCCCCCTGGTGGTTATTACTTCCTGTTTTACGTGGCCACAGGTCATCTATTTAGTCAGCTCCAAAAACATCTCCAAAATGGAGGTCACTTTGCACTTTGCAAACCCCACACTTTCCTCTTTCCGAAAGGGAAATGCTACCTGCCTGTTTCCAGTCCTCCAAACCTCTTGTATGCTGTCTCCAGTTCCTTCAAAGTCACTAACTGTGCTCAGTAATAATGTATTCCATAATATTCTCAGTTCTTTAAAGGGAAATTTTCTGGCCAGAGGACCCAAACCCACTTGGAGTGGCCAAGTGGTCTGCAATTTAGTGGTTTTTCTTGGGTTTCAGTTTGCTCTTTACAACATTCATTTCACACTTTTCATTCAGAAAAATGAATCTGTGCCTCATCAGAGAAGGCAGCCATAACACTGAAATTCAGAGGTTCTGTTTCCTCCACATCACCCATCATACCTCCAACCTGTCCTTCGTTGATCCTCTCCCATGAAACTCTAAACATTGTTTTTGTTGTCCTTAACATTGTTTTGTTATTTTTAATTTTGAGGTGGTTTAACTTTTCAGACCATGCTCTTGTGAGCCTGCTCTTCATTCCTTTTTACCTGGTCTACATATGACATTTTACTGTCTCAGTTTGTTAGCAAAACTTCAATGTTACAATATCAATCTTCTTTTTCTTCTTTCTTTCCCCCTTTTCCCCAGGCTTTCTTATCTGTCACTTCCTGTTTCTCAATTTCTTTCTTTCTTTCTACCTCAACAAAATCAGGTAGTATATAATAGGACACAATGCTCATGCTTTCAGTTTTCCAAAGTTCAATGCTTAAACCTAGATAACTTTCTCTCTCCAGATACTGGTGATATTTCGAAACCCTAAAGACACAGCAGTATCTTTTTTCCATTTCCACAATGATGTTCCTGATATTCCAAGCTATGGTTCTTGGGATGACTTCTTCAGACAGTTCATGAAAGGACAAGGTATGGCTGTTGGTAAAAGAATCATTCTTACTTCAACAGATGATCACAGAAATACAAAAATTCAAATGTGTTTTAGGATAAAGAAAGAAACAACAAGGCCCTACTGTATAGAACAGGGAACTACATTCAATATATTATAACAACCTACAACAAAAAGAATATGAAAAAAGGCTACATATTTATGTATATATATACAACTGATTTACTACACTGTACACCAGAAACTAACATAGCATTGTAAATCAACTATACTTCAATTAAAAAATTAATAAATTTAAAAAAGAAAAAATAAATTAATGCAGATCCAGGAACCACAATGTTACTTTTAAATAAAGCTTTCTGGGCATCAAACAATATATTACTGTTTTTAAAAATAATTTGGACAATTCATATGTTGAGGATGAATGTTAAATAGCCATAGAACAGACATGGGACAAAAAGGTCTATAATAGTCATGTACAGAAAGCATTTCAAATTCACTTCCCACAAGTCTCTGTATAGCACAATGATAAAAGCCAAAAAAGAACAAAACCATGACAGTGAGCTGCCACACCTAAGATACTTGTTTGCCAGAAAGCAACCTAAGGTTTTGTTAGATCATGTTGATGTTTTTACCTCTGGTTACTGATAACCATAATTTCATAAGTGCCTACAAATGCTCCAGCTACCAAACTAGGTATTATATACACATATCTCATTTAAGACCATAACAACTATGAATAAGGCATTATTAGCTATAAAAAATTTAAATTACTTGCCAACAGTCTCAGTTACTTGTATGTGGCAGCAACTCTACTTCCCTTGGTATAGTGGCCGGAGATGAATAAATGTCTCTTTTTAGTAGTGGCTCTGTTGAGGGCTTACAGTGTAGTAGAAGGAAGAATTAATGCCAGATGATCCTAGAGTTGCTACCAGGTCCCTCTAAAAGGACCACTTTTAAAGGGGATCAGCACAGCAATGCAACACTATCCCGTATGAATAGACACTGGGTACAGTACTGAGTGTACAGTACAGTCCTTAGCAAAGATTAAGTCTTGGGATTGGGGTGTAGGAGAGAAAAAGAAAGTGTACAGAAGTTGCTTATGAAGCACTGGCAGGGAAGATTTGGCTTGTTCAGTAACTACTCACTAAGACCAGATGGAGGCAGTTAAGGCAAGTCTAAAACATTATACTCCATTGATATAACACAAGAGAACATTCAGTGGTGGAAAAACTCATCATCATTGGGACAATCTATTTTAGGGACTCTGTTGCTTTTCTGTCCTTTTAGTCTAATCATTTGATTGACAATGATAAGTGGCACTGATATTAATAACTTGGATGGATTTTCTGCCTTGTAAACTTGTTATGGTCAACTTAGAGAGAAAGGCAGCTGAATGTACTGCAAACATACAGGATGTAGAATGAGAAGGCCTGGATTGGGCTTCATCACTTATTATGTTTTAGTGATTAACACTAGATAGAATAAAATAGCTACAATTTATTGAGCACTTACCACATGCCAGGCACTACATGCTACTCCTAGCACACATTATTTTAATTTTCATAATAACCAAATGAGGATAATACTATTATTATCACCATTTTACAAAGAAGAAAATAGAGGCAGAGAAAGGCTCTAAACTTTGATTTCCTTAGTTGTAAAGAGAAAATAAGAATGCCTGACCTATGAGAGGTAACACAGTGTTGTACTTAGCTTGGTTGCATTAGCTCTGGGGTCAAACTAACATTAAAAGATGTCAATTAAAAAAAAAAAGATGTCAGTAACACAGAACTTATTATGCAGCCTTAAAGTGGTTACTTAGCTCCTCTGGGTTTCTAATTCTCCATCAATAAAATGGGTATAAAATTGTACCTATCATACTGGATTGCTTTAAAAAGCGAAAGATGAAATGTATGCATATCAATAAAACATTTAGAAAAGCAGAAAACCCCACCACAGTGGCATAAACAGATCAGGTTTTATTTTCCTCACTTAACTAAGAAGTCTGGAGATAGCAACTGACCCAGTAGCCCAGTACTGTTGGGTCAGCAGCTCTGACGTTCCCTGGGCCCCTCTGTCGTGCTTTTTGCAACATTCTCTCAAATTGTCCACTGTCCCTCTGAGCATCACCTTCAGATCACGAAGAAGGCTCATCGTGACAGGAGTAATTGTTCTAGAAACCTTCCAGCAGACCCCTGCTTGTGTCTCACTGGCTAGGACTACTCCATGTGACCAACCATAGCCCTAAGGGGGGCAGAAAGTGAGAAACAGATTCTCTGACTAGCTTAGACCCAACTAATCAGGGTTTGGTTTGCAACAAAGAAGGGAGTATACTATATTTGGGGCAGGAAATTTACAGTATTTTGCACAACAAATAAAACATGTAGAAATTGCCTGGCTCAAATCATGATAATAATTATGACAATATTATTATTATTATTAATAATAATGTTTATATTGGCTAATATTCATTGAGTGGGTATTATTAATCAGGCACTGTTTTAAGCATTTGACGTGTGTTAATTCACTTAAAATTCACAACAACCCCATTTTACAGATGAGGAAACTATGGTACAAAGAGGTTTAGGGAGTTTCTCAAAGGCACACAGCTATCTAGATCTGCACTGTCAAATATGGTAGCCACTAGCCACATGTGGAAATTGATCATTTGAAATGTGACTAGTGCAAGTGAAGAGCTAAATTTTAAATTTTATTTTAATTCAAATTTATATTTTAAGATAATCAATTCAGTTGCTGGAAACTTTTTAAAGTAAGTTTGTGTGACTGTGTGAATCTGTTTTTCAACTATAAAGTTGGCTTGCACAACACTGTTATTGGACAGTGCTAGTCTAGATAACATGTCTCATTTCTTTCTGACATTTTATCTGTTGGTTTTCAAGTATCATTCACTATTTCTGAATTACTTCATTCACCTAAATGTTCATGAAAATTTGTAGTTCTTGTGAAACCATTTTTACAGCTTGCTTAGTTGTGCTACTGTTCCTGAAAATAAGAAATGAGAAAATCTGACATTAGGACTGATTTATGTCAGTTCTTTTGGAGCAGGGATTTGTAATCTTATAGTCTTGTTTGATCATATACACATACATATAGTTTATATTTTAGGGTATACATTAACCATTTTATCCTCATTCTATCATTTTAACCTCAATTATTTAAAATTTCTTAAGAAGTTATTTTTTTCCTGTATTTTTAGTTTCCTGGGGAAGCTATTTTGATTTTGCAATTAATTGGAACAAACATCTTGATGATGAAAATGTTATGTTCATATTATATGAAGACCTGAGAGAGGTGAGATTATGATTATTGGTATTCTATAGCAAGATTTACTATAAATGACAACATAGAACATTTATTCATAATGTCTGATTGTATGAACAAACAGTATACTCAATTTTTAAAAATATTCCATATATGTGATACAGTACTAGGGGAAAAAAACAATGCATATGTGCTTAGATTGTATATTTAATAGAAATAAAATAATTCTTAGGAATTTACTACTAACAGTGACTGCCTTTTTTCCCCATCTGTGATAGATAGTCCAAATTAGGAATGGCAGAAACGATAGGTCTCTATTGAGGTTTAACTGAAAATGCTTTTGGCTGTGAATTAATTTTTCCATATAATGTTTTTAAAAACTGCTTCTTCACAAATATTTAATGAGTTCAGCATTGTTTTAGGCCTTTGTAATTTATCAGTGAACAGACTAAAGTTCACTACATGGGAGAAGCTTACATTCTAGCTGGAGAAGGTGGGGAGACAGAATGATAAACAATAAATACAATAAAAATTTTAAATGTATATAATATGTGAGAATGAAGAAACAGCACAGCTGATTAAGGAAAACTAGAAATCCCCAAGGGTGGGGGGGTTGGGATACTGGACAAATCTCAGCATGAAATAGGATGGTCAGTGGAAACCTCATGGAAGGCATGTGACATGAACCAAGATCTGAGGGAGATGAGGGAGGGGGTGAGTCAAGAAGGTAACCAGAGTAAGAGCTTTCCAGGCAGAGAAGACCAACTGGAGCAAAGGCCCTGAGGTAGGAGTGTTCCTGGAAGGTTAAGGAATGGAAAGGAGCAGATGTGGTTTGGTTGGAGGGATGAACCAGAAGAGACTAACCGATGAAGATAGGCGCAAGGGGGTGGAGTGGAGTATGAGTGGCAGACCATTGAAATACTTTGCTTTTCACTGAATGAAATGGGAAATCATTGTAGGATTTCGAGCAGAAGAGTGGTAGGAATTTATGTGTTTTTAACAGGATCATTCTGTCTGGTGTGTGAGAATATATTAGAGAGAAGCAAAGAGGATCCAGGGAAACCCATGAGGAGGTTATTGCTCTAGTCCAGGCAACAGAAGGAAGATGGTGGCTCAGACCTGAAGGGGCCATGGAGGGGAAGAGAAGAGGTTGAATTCTGAACTTACGTTGAAGGAAAAACCAATAGGATTTGTTGCTGGACTGGATGAGGGAAAGAGTAGTGAGAAAAAAAGAGAAGTCAAATGAGACCCCAGTATCATTGGTCCAACCAGCTGGAAGGACTAAGCTGTCACCATGTGAGTAGGAGACGGCAGCAGGTGAAGCAGGATTGTGGGGAAGCCAGGGATCTGGTTTTCAACATCAGAAGGCTAAAATGTTTATCAGTCACCCAAATGGAGAGGCCAAGTAGGCAGTTAGGTATTGAAGTCTTAAATGCAGAAAGAGTTCTGAGCTACAGATGTAAATCTGGCCCACAGATGACATTTAAAGCCATGAGACTACATATCTAAATATGTAAGCATATGGACAGAGACGTTGACCAAGAACTGAGCCTTGCAGCCCTCCAACATGAAAAGTTTGAATAAAAAGGGAGGAGTCGGCAAAGGCGACTAAGGAGTAGCTAAAGACATAGGAGGGAAACCAGAGTCCTGGAGCTCCAGGGAAGAAAGTATGTTAAAGGAGAAGAGACTCAAATGCTCTCTAACTGAATTGAGTCTTTAACACTACTTTCTCCTGATATTCTTACATTTTAAAAAAAAGTGTAATTGAACTCATCCCTTCTGTTTATGGTGTGTACAAATATATATAACATGAAAGAACATACTAATGTAGTCTTTTCCCCTTCTCATCTAGAATGTTCCTAAAAAAACTTGTGATTCATGGGATGTTAGCATTGTCCCAAATGTTAATCATTCTTTCCTGCAGTTGGTAGGAGGCTGCCTGTTCAAATTGATTTGCGGACTGCTGTAGTATATAGCCTGCTCCTTTGGGAAATTCACATTGCACACTGGCATATTAAAGATTGACAGATTCTACAAACAAACAAACCAAACCTTACCTTTACTAATCCAAAGCTTCCACACTTATTTGACCACAACCCTTAACCCTCTTTCCCCCCATGAAACATCTATAAGCACCTTGAAATACATTAATGTTTTGTAGAATACAGTTTAAGAAACTGTTCTAGAAGATTAAATCTCCATTGGTCAATGATACTGTTGAGAAGGTTGATGATACTTACAAAGGTATTAAGTGATATAGTACAAGACTCATTCTAGCTTTTATGATTCTAAAAATGAGCCTTTCTTGATAGAATTACATATTAGCTAAAACAGGATTTAGAAGAAAAGAGAATTTGAATGAGCACATACAAATATATTAATTTCCTCAGCTGGTTTAGATTGGTGCTTTTTAACAAAATGAATGTCATCTTAGATAAGATTCTACCCTACTATTAAATGCTACTGTCACTATCAATACCTTGAATAGTTCAATAAGTCAGAAATTGAAACTACAAAGTAAAATCAGTACAGAGTATCTTAAAGGGAAGTTTCAAATATTCATACTGAAGTATCAAAGTAAGTCTGAAGAGATAGAAAGGGACAGCTGAATTAGAGAGTTAGGCTTAAAATGCATTCTAAGAAGCCTGTCTTGGCCTGGGGCACAATTCCCACAGAAAGAAGTTTATCCTCTAAAATTTTGTTTTCAGAATCTGGCCACTGGAATAAAACGAATTGCTGAGTTCTTCGGATTCTCTCCATCTGGGGAGCAGATTCAAACTATTTCAACACAGAGTACCTTCCACGCCATGCGAGCAAAGTCCCAGGAAACGCACGGTGCCGTGGGCCCGTTCCTGTTCCGCAAAGGTAAAGCCTCCTTCATATCTGAGCCATCCATCCGTCTGCACATAAGAGGCAATTCAAACAACTTTATGTTGAAGAAGACAGGATTTTCTTTGTCTCTTCCTCAACAAGAAGTCTGACATAGATCAGAGCTGGAACTGGTAACTCCAAGCTGCTTTAGAGTACTAAGTTCCTCCCAACTTTCTCTTGCCACCTGCTGATAAAAGGAGAGCAGCTAGAGCTCCTGAATTATAATAAAGTTAAAGGGTTGTTTTATTCAAATAAAAAGGGAGTGGCAAGACAATCACATGCATTTGCTGAGCGAGCCCCCTTTATAGAACTTTGTCGGGAGCCTCACTCAATAGCTTACATCTCATTGGTCACTTCTTATGGTGCTGTTGGATGGAAAATGTAATTTTTTAAAAAGGTGGGTGTGTTATTACTCAATTAAAATCAAAGTTTTATTAATAAAGGAGAAGGAGTAAATGAGTGTTGGATAGGCAACCAGCTATCTCTGACACTGATGATTTTACTAAATTTCATTAAACTATTCTAATTTCTTATGCAAATTTATGATAATATAGCCCAAGGGGTGTCAGTTTTCTTTTTTATTGCATATATAATGAAAGTATAATGTGATTTAGAGGCAGCACATATAACAACTACCACTTATTAGGCATGCATCATGTGTTAGGCCCTTTGCTGGGCTTAAATTTTATAGCAAAAAGATATTAAATCCTTAATTTTACAATATGGACATCAAGACTCAGAGATATTAATTGACCCTTTGTCACAAAGCTAATTGGGCTTCCTAAGTGGTGCTAGTGGTGAAGAACCCAACTGCCAATGCAGGAGACTAAGAGATTCAGATTCAATCCCTGGGTCAGGAAGATCCCCTGGAAGAGGGCATGGCAACCCACTCCAGTATTCTTGCCTGAAGTATCCCACGAACAGAGGAGCCTGGTGGGCTACAGTCAATAGGGTTGCACAGAATCAGATACCACTGAAGCAACTTACCATGCACACACAAAGCTAATTAGTGAAACAGGATACAAATGTAGGTCTACTTGATTCTACTACACTTTGTCAAATGCAGACTCACTTTAAAAAATCCACTGTGAATGCAACATTGTATATAAATCTGGCTTTGGTTTGCATTCTGACTTTAACTCTGATTTTATGCCTTATTTTATTAGCTTTAAGAAGAGGGGAAAAATAAAACCTTTCTATATGTTGTTTATCAAATACTACAGAATTGAAAAAATTCTAAAAGTAGCGATTTTAAAATATTACATTATTCCATGTAGAAAATTCAGAAAGTACAGAAAGATATGAAAAACTACTAAAAATCATCCACATTTTTCCCACCAGAGGCAGGTTCGACTTTTTGACTCACTTCTTCTGGCCTTATTCTGTGATGTTTCATATAGTTGATGACATTTGTAAAGAGTCTTGTTTTTTTATTCCCTTCATATATGTAAGCATTTCCTCACATCATTAAAACTGCTTTATAAATATACATTTCATCGGCTATGCAACAAGGAGCTTAACAACTTCAACCCATATCATCAAAAGAGTCTAAGGAAAAAAGTAACTTCTTTACTTTTAAAAGCACGTAAGAAAAACATATCTCAATCTCAGGCAAAATAATAAGTTTTTGCAAAATTTTCAGCACTTGGAGACTTAACCAAAAGCTGCTATAAAATATTAATTTATCTTCTCAGTGGGTATTTAAAGTATTAAAGACTTTAGAGAGAAAAAAATGATTCTAAAAAAGTGGTATTTTGGTCCCAGGTGTTGGGAGAGGGGTGGGGATGGGAAGTCACTGAGGTCAAGGGCCCCGTTAGTGACACTGAAGAAGCACATCACCTACCACACCACACCACACCAGTGGGGAAGCCCAAGTGGATCTTGCTAACTTTACAAGAAAACTTACATTAGTTTTTTAAGACTGTGTAACTTTTTTTCACATGTCCATTTCACATTTCAAAGTGAAACTCTACACTGAGAAATGATAAAATCAAGATGAAATAACAGGTGTCTAAGTCTACTGTTTTTTATGTGTGTGTTGTAGGTGAAGTTGGTGATTGGAAAAGCCTGTTCAGTGAAACTCAGAACCAGGAAATGGATGAAAAATTCAAAGAGTGCTTAGCTGGCACTGCCCTGGGAAAAAAGTTGAAGTATAACTCATACTGCCAGCCTTGATTCTGGTCAATTCAGCTTATTTTCCTTAATAATAACTGAATTTAAATATCAATAATTACATAATAATCTAATCAATAATGATAATTAAAAACATTCAGACATAAACAATCTGTTTAATAATGAAAACAAATGAAAATTTTGAGCACAAACTTAAGTTTGTTCACTTTTTACAGAAAGATACTTTAGCCATCCAAAAGGGATGCTGTATTTAATGATGTATCCTGGAGTTCTAACTTCTTTCATGCTCTGGGTTCACACAAGACCATAAGCCAACACTATTGGAGATATACCTAAATCTGTTTGAGCATAGATGAGACAGGCCTTTCTGTCTCATGATCATGATCTGTGATCATTATCACAATGCTTTGTCCTCTCACAAAAATCTCTCTCTTCCTCACTATGGATCAGAGCCCTTGTGATCTGCTCCTTTCTGAACTTACTGCTGTGAGAAATTTAATTCCAATTCTTCCCTGAAGTAAAATGAATAAATACTATTCTAATTTGATTTAAGAAAAACACATTGCTCATGTACTCTGTGTATGTCATTTAAGAAAGCTCTATGGAGGCCCACTCTCAAGGGACTTTATATTTCTACTTAATACAAGCTTTACTTTAAAGCTAAAGATTAGAGGTTGTGTTATTCTGGCATGCCAGCTTTCCTAACAGAGAGCCTCAAGTAAGCGTGTGGAATCTATAAGAGAAAGCAGAAAATGTTCTGGGGCGGGGACAAACCTTTAAACAATATCCTTAATATTTATACTCCGGCTAGTTTCACTGTAAAGCTAAGTTTTACACAGTTAAGAACAGAATGAGTCATAAAAAGTTAAATAAAATTGCTTTGAGAAAGATTACAGGACTACTATTTCTGGCAGTATAGTAGATTAGGTAAACTGAAGACTCTTCCCTCAAAACACCAAGAAAGGCTGTATAAAAATCCCTTCAGTGGCACTGCTCAGCTTCCAGTAAAGTGAGTGGACTTAACAGAGACCAAAACCAAAGAGAGAACAGAGAACTAGAGTGAATAAGAATCAGAGATGACCCTGAGATGTCAATGAGAAATTTGCAGGAACAGAAACTTGGGTTTTAATGCCCAAGCCCATATGACTGGAGCAGGAATAGACAAATAGACCAAAGGAAATAAAACAAACAGAACAAAATACAGTGGCCATGAATGTAAAGAAAGTTCAAATATGACAGAGGTGGCATTGCATACCATAGGAACAGATTAAACTCTTCAGCATTTGATACTAAGACAACTGCTTCTGATATACAAGAAGTAAAATCAGACCTTTACTGCACATCACTCAAAAAAATAATTCTTTACAAATTAAAAGGCTATATGTCAAAAGATGATTTAGACTACGTTTTTAGAAGCAAATACAAGTAAATATTTTTATGACCACAGAGTAGGATTTATTAAGCAAGAAACAAAAAACACAGAAAGGAAACAATTTATATTTTGGGCAACATTAAGATTTAAAATGTAGAACAGCATCTTTAAGAAAGTAAAACCAAATGAAACAACATGTCAGAATTAAGATTCCACACTGTTGTGGAGCCCCCCCACAGAGTTCTCTTTTGGCCCCCCCAAAAGAGAACAAAGTTCAGGTCACTTACTGCCATTGCTACTGCTGACACCAGAGATGGCCTATACCCTTTGAGAACTGACATGGGAACATGAGTCCAGCTTCTGCTAACTCCTCTGAGCTTGCTTGTCAACTTGTCTGTTACAGAAAAATGGGACTTCCTTCTATATTCCAAGTCTTGCACCACTGTCTACCCATCACTGGCAAGACTTGGATTATATCCAGAATTTTAACTCCATAGTAATCTGGAAAATGTGATTTTAACCTTCCATACATTATAATCCAGGAGATGTGGAGACATGGAAGAGAGTTGGAAGGGAAGCTAAGTCAAACTTAATAACATATAGTACAGTCCACTCTTTCTACCAATAATCTTTCAAGCAAACAACAAATCTATGTTCCCACTTAATGCAGCTGTTCCCGTCTTCAAATGGAAACATGCTTATCCTGCCTCCTAAATCTGTATGCCCATTATGATATTTTTCTCATTTTAGCCACAACCCCACTTTAAGACACTCTGTCTTATAGACTATCTTATACAATTAACCACCATCAGCAAATGTCAAGTAAAAAGGGAAGGGAGAACAATCAAAAGAGGTTCACCCACTGCTGGGCATACACACCGAGGAAACCAGAATTGAAAGAGACACGTGTACCCCAATGTTCATTGCAGCACTGTTTACAATAGCTAGGACATGGAAGCAACCTAGATGTCCATTGGCAGATGATGGATAAGAAAGCTGTGATACATATACACAATGGAATATAACTCAGCTATTAAAAAGAATACATTTGAATCAGTCCTAATGAGGTGGATGAAACTGGAGTCTATTATACAATGAAGTAAGTCAGAAGAAAAAAAGAACACCAATACAATATATTAACGCATATATATGGAATTTAGAAAGACGGTAATGATGATCCTATATGCGGGACAGCAGAAGAGACACAGATGTAAAGAACAGGCTTTTGGACTCTGTGGGAGAAGGCAAGGGTGGATGATTTGAGAGAGAGCATTGAAACATGTATATTAGCATATGCGAAATGGTTTGCCAGCCCAGGTTCGATGCATGAGACAGGGCGCTCAGGGCCGGTGCACTGGGATGACCCTGAGGGATGGGATGGGGAGGGAGGTGGGAGGGGGTTCAGGATGGGGAACACATGTCCACCCATGGCTGATTCATGTCAATGTATGGCAAAAACCACCACAATATTGTAAAGTAATTAGCCTCCAATTAAATAAATTTACCAAAAAAAAGAGGTTCATTTGTACATAACAAAGACAAAGCTATGGAAAAACATGCATAGCTTCTATGAGTCTCTATTTTGCATCTGGTCATGAGACCATAGCTGGTGTTTATAACTCCTTGTCCATTCTTCCCTTTGCCATCAGATGTCCCCCCGGTTAGTAGGGTGATGCAGACCTTCAGTCTTGAAGGATCTGAGTCCTTAACATTCCTACCTGTGCTGCCACTGCTGCTGCTGCTGCTAAGTCATTTCAGTCATGTCCGACTCTGTGCGACCCCAAAGATGGCAGCCCACCATCCCTGGGATTCTCCAGGCAGGAATACTGGAGTGGGTTGCCATTTCCTTCTCCAATGCATGAAAGTGAGAAGTGAAAGCGAAGTCACTCAGTCGTGTCCCACTCCTAGCGACCCCATGGACTGCAGCCTACCAGGCTCCTCCGTCCATGGGATTTTCCAGGCAAGAGTACTGGAGTGGGTTACCATTGCCTTCTCCCCTATCTGTGTTAGAGACCTCTAAATTTCCATTAATGAAAAAATCACTTATCACTGAATGTGGAACTACTGAAAGGAACTCCAGAGAAACCTCTGGGTTGAAGACATACTTATCTCTGGCTGCATCACTATTTCCCCTTGCTAATTCATATCAACCAGTCCAACAAGTTCAGTAACTCCCTTATTATTATTATTGTTATTTTGGTCATGACACGTGGTGTGTGAGATTGTAATTCCCCAACCAGGAATGGAACCCGCGCCCCCTGCATTGAAAGCTTGAAGTCTTAACCAGTGGACCAACCACCAGGGAAGTCCCTCCCTCTTATTTTCTTGATAACTTAATGACAAGATGCTCTTGCAATCTCCACGTGCAGTTTCAAGTTCCTCTTCAAGGAACCACGCGGTAAAAACAGAGCCAAAAATCATAGAAACAGGAAGCACTTATTTTGCAAGCATATGATTAGGTTTAATCATGGAAGACAAACCTTTTACATCTACTGATTCCTGGGCTCGTGTATTCTGGCCATGAAAGAAACAGCAACCAGGATCAGAACAAATACTATACCTGAAGGACAGTGCACCCAGCTTGCTAAGTGTTGTCTCCTACCTGGGGCTGTAACTGAGTCTTCCATACTTGATCCCACTATCCTATAAGGCCAGCTGCTTTCAGATGATAAGTCAAGATAGAAATCATTGAATCCCGTGGCAGTCAGTGTACTGCCTCACTTCTTTCTCTGCAAAATGGGTTCCTTACTAAGGGATATCAATATAGTGAACAAGGTATTTGCTACCAATGATGGTGCTGGCAGAAGCACCAGAGGAAGAAAAAGCAAGTCCATACCTGGAATAAATGCTTTCTCCACAGAAGGCAAATCCCTGCCCACTCCATGACGGCAGGGCTCCATGTAACCAACCTGCCACCAAGTGGCGGGCTGGTCTCCATAGGTGTTCAGGGCACTTGTGCTGGGGTCTCAGCGTCGGTCTCAGCTGTCGGAGTGCTGGGTGCTCAGCAGTTAGATCCACCTTGACAAGATCGCACACATATATCATCCATTCCTACTGCCAAGGCTCTCCATTTGTGTTCAACAAGCACTGGGGAAATGCCGACTGACATCTACAGAAGCTTTCTTGCACACCAGCTTCTCAATTCTCCTTAGAAGGGGATACCTCTCATGAAGATTCACAAGGAAACCCAATACACTCAGACTCTGTGTCCATTCCAAGTGGTCACTCACATCCTTTCCCCCCAGACCTCCTTATCATTAACGCTCTGACCTTGTTCCTTACAAATCTCCAAATATCCAGGTAAACTGTAGGCCACTAGCTTTCTCTCCTACCAAGTGACAACTAAGTGTACTGCTTGAAGCTTCACCCTGGGAGGATTTCCTTCTCCCACTATCCTTTAGGGCCACTTCCCTGAAGGGCTGTTGGAACACATCAGTTCACTTCCAGTTAAAGCCAGTGTATAGCACTTCACCTGAATTTTCCTTTCTTAGCCACCTGGTCACAGGGAACTCCCCATGAGACCAGAGATGCGGGTTGATAAAGGAGAGGGCAGGAGTGCATGCCATAGGGGCCTTAGATATCTGCTCATGTAACCCACCAGTGGGCTGCCCTCTATTTCAGTACTAGAAACTCCAGGAAGTTTACCACTGCTAATGGTGTCTGGTGAGCAAAACTTTCTGACTACTGCTCTGACTCTGTGGCCCTTTTTTGGAGGCGGGATGGAGTTAAGTGTTGCCACATGGCCTCTGCCAGTCTGAAATCAGGTAGTTTTTCAATGGGAACATCTCCCGTCAACAATCCCCACCCACCATGGGCAGCCATTACAGACCTTTTCAAAGATGAAAATATACTTCTAAAGGCCTGCTGAAGGTGAGTCCTTTGGATATTCTTAGGGGGCGTGGTTAGAAAGAGAATGGATAGGTTGCATATGATTAATCTACTCTAACAATCCTGATTCACTAAGTATTTTTGATTTCTTCATTTGTATTACTTGGCATCACAATTTCATTTAATGTAGGCCACCACTGAGCCCAAGTTATAGTAAACCAACTAGACAAACTCTTAGAACCACTCCCCGTGCTGGAGCCAGAGCATTGAGTGCATAATGTGAACTATGTTCCTTTTTTCATGTTACCTTTAGAGTCATACCTACACACTTTCTTGGGTTTCTGCTGATAAAAATTAGTGAAACCTGGTAATTCTTTCATTATATAAACTGTATCCTCTGGGTCAGATCTTGTCTGTATCCTCTTGGAGCATTCTAGCATCTGATTCTAGTTCTAGGAGTGAATTCATGAGGTAGGAATAGGACATTTGGAAAATCAGCACCTCCTTGCAGGGTGACAACTTCAGGCCCTTCAAGTTTGGCTGTAGCAGCCTTATCCAACAAACATGGAAAGGCTGTAGTGACTCAGCAGAATTTCGGGGGGCAGTGGACTCCTTTTAGTTCAGTTCAGTTCAGTCCCTCAGTCGTGTCCGACTCTTTGTGATCCCATGGACCGCAGCATGCCAGGCCTCCCTGTCCATCATCAACTCCCAGAATTTACCCAAACTCATGTCCATTGAGTCGGTGATGCCATCTAACCACCTCATCCTCTGTCGTCCCCTTCTCCTCCTGCCTTCAATCTTTCCCAGCATCNGCAGCACCGAACTCTGCACCTAATTTCTGCTCCATGAACCTTGAGATGACAGGAAGTAAGAGGTTCTTCTGGGCAGTCATAAACGCTTGCATCCTCTGACCATGCTTGAGCCTGTCATTTTCTTTCTTTAAGCTCTTTCGGGCAATTCAGGGGCTTCAAAAAGTCAGAAAACATGTCATTGCTATTGCTGTTACCTCTGGAACAACCACCTCACACCCATAAAGCTGGTAAATGGACTCCAGCAAACAGGCACTGCAGTTGGAGCTCTCTGTCATCTCAAAGGGCCACAGAAAGAGGGCTCTGACTCCTGTCTACCTTCCAAAACTTCCACTAGTGCTTCATATGTGGGGAAGTTAAATCAAGGAAACTATAGTGTTTCCCATTGATAGGCTGCAATTCCAGAGGCTGCAAAAGAGACATGGGAAAGCCAAGAGCCAATATGTAATGTGTACCTGAAGTCCATCTTGGAAACGCCTCTTCCACCTCACCCTAGCTAGGATGTTGAGCTACAGGCTTCTGGTTCTAATTCTAGCTCCCTTGCTTACCAGCTGTTACTTAACTTCTCTGTGCCTCGGACCTTGGTTTTCTCATCTGTTAAATGGGCATAGTAATGGCACCTACCTTGTAATACTGCTGTGAGATGGGTACTCAGCACTCCCCAGTCACTCAGTCAAGGTGCCTGTATTACTCTGGGAGGGTGATAGTCCACTAGGTGAAGAGGATGTCTTGTCTTGCTCCTCTGTCCATAGGATTTTCAAGGCAAAAATACTGGAGTGGGTTCCCTTCTCGGGGAATCTTCCCAAACCAGGGAACGAACTGGATCTGCGGCATTGCAAGCAGATTCTTTACCATCTGAGCCACCAAACCTTCCCTCAGGATGTCTTGCAGGATTTAAAATTTTCTCATTAAAAATCCTGCTGGTAAGGACTTTGGTTGTAAACTCCAGGAGACCCCTCAGGAAGCAGGTGAATCTCCTAACTGCTGGCTGGTACCTGGTACAGCAGGTGCAATTACATGTTGAATAAATGAATGGTTAGATGGAAACAGAGAAGGGAGGTTATGCCCCCAGGCCTCTGCATCCCCCGTCTGGGTTGCTGGTTATGGGCAATGGAATCCTGGCTCTGCCCCGGCAAGGTTGATTTATTCAGTTTCTTCCATTATAAAATGGAGCCGATGATATCCAGCCCCTCCAGTTCAGTTCAGTCGCTCAGCCGTGTCCGACTCTTTGCGACCCCACGAACCGCAGCACACCAGGCCTCCCTGTCCATCACCAACTCCCAGAGTCCACCCAAACCCATGTCCATTGAGTCGGTGATGCCATCCAACCATCTCAACCTCTGTCATCCCCTTCTTCTCCTGCCCTCAATCTTTCCCAGCATCAGGGTCTTTTCAAATGAGTTAGTTCATCCCACCCCAAATGCTGGCGTTGAAGAGGCAAGGGGAGCGTTTATGGCAGAGAGCTCGCCACGTTGCGGGCCTCGGAGACCTCAATGCCCTCCCCATCTCCCGGAGGACCCTGCCCCGGGGCCGGTGACAGTCCCAGCAGCGGGGGCGGGGGCTGCAGGGCCCTGGACGCCCGCGCTCGGACTCAAGAGTGGAGGCCGGGTTTCAGGCGATCGCGGGCCCTGCGCGGACCGGTGCGGGAGGGGCCGGGGCGGCCGAAGGAAGGCGGAGTCCGCCGGGAAAACGAAACCGAGAGCGAGCCGCCCAGACTCGCCGAGCTTCCGCTGACTGTAGCGGCGCGGGAGCAGCGAGGGCGGGCAGCTGGAGCCACCGCGGCGCGCGCCCCCCAGTCCGCCTCCCCAGCCCGGGACTGGACGCCGATAAGAGGCCCCGGACCCCGGAGCCGCCGCCTCGGTAGCGCTGTCCGAGGCCCGCAGTCGAGTGCGGGCCCTGGCTGGACCCGGGGAAAGCATCCTACAGCGCGGTGAGCCCTGAGAGTCATTTTCTTCCCACGAAGAATTTTTAAACGAGCAGGTAACCACTAACCCGGGGCCTGGTTGGTTGGGGGAGGGGAACCAGTGGAAAACGGAAAAGTCCTGTGGCTTGATAGACAATGTGAAATACGGAGGCCTGAATTGCCCAAAAGATTGGCAACAAAAATCCCCTGCCCAAAATCCCTTGCAATTTTTTCCCAATTGTCCATCTTTAGCCCCCGACCAAACTCTGCCTCCCCCCACCCCATTCCCCAGCTTCTCGACACCGCAGCAGCCCCAGGTCCTTGAAGGCAGAGCAGGGCACCCTCTCCCCCACCCTCCTCCACCCCAATTCTCCAATAACTTTCTCATTAGAACCCTCTAGAAGGTTACTGGCCTCCAGGCATGGCCCCCTGGACCCTCCTTTCCGATCACACAGGCCTCATTTCGGTTCTTGGAGCACTGCCAAGCAGCCGCTGCCTCTGGGCCTTTGCACTCCCTATCTCTTCCTGGAAAGCTCTTTCCAGAGACCTGTATAGGCCAGTCAGTCGCTGGCTTTACCCTGCACTTGTTTCAGTGTAACAGTAGAGAGCAGCCTTCCCTGAAAAACCTCCATGTAAAAGAAACTAGGCCATTCCCTTACAGTCCGCCCTACTCTGCTTTAGTTTTCCTAGTACTTATCACGTTGTGACATTTCCTATAGGCCTGTCCATGTTTCTGTACTCCTAAGTGCACAAGAGTCGGGTTTTGTTGGCCAGGATAACCTAGTACATAATAATAGGTACTCATTAACTCTTTGCCTGCTTGCTAAGTCTCCAGTCGTGTCCGACTCTTTGAGACCCTGTGGACTGTAGCCCGCCAGGCTCCTCTGTCTTTGGGATTCTCCAGGCAGGCAAGAATACTGGAGTAGGTTGCCATGATTTCTTCCAGGAGGTCTTCCCAACCCAGGGATCTAACCTGGGTCTTTTATGTCTCCTGCATTGGCAGGCAGGTTCTTTATCACTAGTACCACCTGGGAAGCCCAACTTTGTTTAATGAATGAAAGTGAAAGTCCAAGTTACTCATCATGTTGGACTCTTTGCAACCCTATGGACTGTACAGTCCATGGAATTCTCCAGGCCAAAATACTGGAGTGGGTAGCCTATTACTTCTCCAGCAGATCTTCCCGACCCGGGAGTTGAACTGGGATTTCCTGCATTACAAGTGGATTCTTTACCAACTGAGCTATCAGAGAAGCCTGTTTAATCAATGGTAATTCACAGATTCTCTTTGAACTCCAGAATATGAGACTTCCTATCGCCTGTGATTTCTTTAGTACTAAAAAAATGCCTTGCCAGATGGAAGCTAAGAGATGGACTCTGAGCTGTCACTTAGGAACTTAGAATTTTGGGTAGTTTGTGCTCTTGCTCTTATGTTTGTTAATTTGAATCTGAAGCTCCTTAACACTGGATCTGTAGTTTGTACCTTTAATTCATCTTACATCTGTTGAATGTATATTGTTCGCCAAGCGTTATGCATGCCCTTTGAGGGGGCTAGGCTAGGCCCACAAGGGCTGACAGTCTGACACAAGGGTGTCAGGGCACAGCCAAAGTAACTTCTGGGCATGAGTATAACAGACACATAACATTTATTAGTGATTCTGATGAAGATTTCTGTTCAGAAAATGGTACTGTAGTACTAAAATAAGATTTATTAAAAGCATTTCAAAAGAAGCAGCTGTTTCTTTTTTCCCCAAACTTATAAGTACTTTTTTCAAATGTGCCAGTTTAACTCCTTATTAGAAGTCGCACATGACTTAGCAACTGAACAACAGTATTTCACTTAAATTCAAACTGGCTTGTCATTGTAAAGATCAACAGCTAAAGTTAAAAGTGCTGATGATTCAGGGTGTTTCCATAGGACTTCAGGTTATGAGGACTCTTCCATAACTGCTGTTCTGAGATCTGTGTTGTTGTTCGATTACTGAATCATGTCCAACTCTTTGGCGACCCCGTGGACTATAGCCTGCCGGGTTTCTCTGTCCATGGCATTCTCCAGGCAAGAATGCTGGAGTGGGTTGCCATTTCTTCCTCCAGGGGATCTTCCTGACTCAGGGATCTAACCAGCATCTCTTGTGTCTCCTGCATTGGCAGACGGGTTCTTTACCATTAGCCACCTGGGGAGCCCTCTGAGATCTATGACCTCATCCAATTGGATGTACGATCTCATAGTTGTGACTAAACTAAATGACACTTTGATTCCTGAAAATAATGGTGCAGCTGCAGATTCTTATCTGAAACCCTTGAACCATGTTATGTTCTGGTACTTAAGAAGTTTTTGGATTTTAGAAAGACAAGGCAGCATAAATCCTGTCTATTATGTAATGTTCTCAGTAGGGTTTGGGGACAATGCTATCATAAAATGCTATCTGCAATGAAATGTATAAATAGACAACGGAGTATGGTTAAGACTGTAAGTAGCTTGTGTCAGTTCAGGTCTAGATGGGGGGCTACACACCAAGCAAAAACAAAGCAAATGAAAACAAAATAAACTTCAGTTTTCAGTGCTTCTTGGATTTTGGAGTTACAGACCAGGAGCACTGTTCATTGAGGGCCAGGGGTGTGGGAAACCCTCCTGGATCCTTTTTTGTCTGATTTACTCCACACCACAACCTGTGAATCAGGTGTGTCCATCCTTTGTTTCACATCACAAATCAAAGGTTCAGAGAGGTAGGTTCAGAGGCTCAGGTCTATGTGGCTTTAAAGCCTAGCTGTCTCCACAACACTAAGCAGCGATCGTGCCTTTGCTCATATCTAAGCCCTTCCAGCCACCAGCATTGCCCACCCAAACCACCATGGCAGTCTTGACTTGGTCTCTCGACTTCTGCTTGTGCTCTGCTCATCTTTTCTATCCCCACCCCTCATACTGTGTTCTTTCCATAGCATCAGCATGATCATTAAAAGCATAAGTCCAACCACATCACCCCTCTGCTGAGAACCCACCAAGAGCTTCCTGTTGTAACTGGAATAACATCCATGGTCCTGGCCGGAGCCCTCAAGGTCTCTGTGCTGTGGCACCTGCCTACTCTCTGACTCATATCCCAGCATTTCCCTTCGTTCGCTGTGCAGCAGTCTCCTTGACTTTTCCTTAGCCTTCCAAACGCCATGCTGGTGCCTGCCTCACGGTTTCCTCTGCCTCAGATGCTCTTTCCCCTATCTAAGCATGATGGACTTTCTCATCATCCAGGCTTGATTTCAGTATTGCCTCCTAAGAAGGGTCTTCCCTTGCCACTGTATTACAACCACCTCCTTCATATCTCTGTCCCCACCTCCTAACACCCCTTCTAGCTCATAGCCCTATTTCGCTTCATTGTAGCACTTCCAGCCATCTCTTAGCCTCTCCTGTGTGTTGCTTCTGGACTTTGTTGCTTCTTGGTCTCTTTTGGAAGAGGGTCAGTTAAATGAGCAACTGTAATAAAGGACACAAGGGCTCTAGCGCATCAAACCAGGATCTCTTCCAGGGGGTGAGGGAAGTAACACTTGAGCTGAGATCCATAGGAGGCAGGAGTTAATCGGGCGGAAGCAGCTAAGGGGGTGGAGTCCAGAGCATTTCAGGAGGGAGTCTGTTGGTCAGACGCAGTTGGGAGCCAGGAAGGAGTTGGTGGGGGAGGCGTCCTTTTGAGAACTGTCTCTGTGTAGGTGAAATTTAAAGCTCCAAGTCTTGAGGGGATCACCAGGGGAGTGAGTGGAGAGGAGGAGGAGTAGAGCAGAGAAGAGATATGAGACCCGGACCCCGAGACAATACAGTATTTAAAAGAAAGGATGATGAAGAAGAACCAGGAAAGGAGACAGAAAAGGTATAGCTTGTGAGAAAGGAGGGAAACTAGGAGAGGATGGTGTCTTAAGTGTCCGAGCAAAGGGAGAAGGAGGGACATAGGAATAAGCGACCATATCTTGTGCCGGTTAGGTGTCAAGAAGAAAAAGGCTGGGAACAGACCACTGACTACTAGTTTCAGAGATGGGGGAGCCGTCGGTAACCTGGACAAAAACAATTTTGATAGCTTGTGGAGGCTGCATGACTGAAGTGAGGGTTTAAGAGATCATGACACGGCTGTTTTAAAAATGAAAAATAACAGCTGTTGGTGAGGATTTGGAGAAATTGGAACCCTCGTGTATGCTGATGAAAGTGCAGAATGGTACAGCCACTGTGGAAGGTAATTTGACAATTCTTGAAAAAGTTGACTATATATTGCCATATGATTCAGCAAGTCCACCTCTAGGTATATGCTCAAAAGATTCAAAAGTAGGCATTTGAATAGATTTTTGTACAACAATGTTCATATCATCATTACTCACAGTAGCCAAAAGGCTGAAATAACCCATGATCATCAGTAGATGAATAGATAAACAAAACATGGGATATCCATACAGTGGAATAGTATTCAGCCTTAAAAAGGAAGGAAATTCTGATATATGCTACATACAGCATGGATGAACCTTGAAGACATTAGCTAAAACACAAGAGGACAAATATTGTATAATTACACTTGTGCTAGATACCTAGAATAGGCAAATGTATAGGCATGGAAAACAGAATGGTGGTTACCAAGGGATGAGGGGGAAGGGAAATGAGAAGTTATTTAGTGGGTACAGACTTTCTATTTGGGGAGATGAAAAGAGTTTTGGAGATGGATGGTAATGGTGGGCTTACAACATTGTGAAATAGCTTTTGCCCATGAATTATTTATTTAAAAATGGCAAATTTCATGTTATGTGTATTTTACAACAATGAGAAAGAAGTTCTGCTAAAAAATCATGATGGCTGCAGGTTAGAGAAGAAATTGTATCCACTGTGAGGAATTGGTTCTCAGGATCTTGCAGCAGTCCCGGCGTGAGACGGTGATGGCTTGAACCAGGATGCTGGTTATAGACATCAATGAGAAGTCAAAGGATTTGGAGGACAGGACTTGCATATGGATCAGAAGACAGGGAAAGCACATGTCAAGGATGCCTCCCAGAATTCATGGCTCTCAGTCATGGGTGGACAGTGAAGTCATTTTCTGAGGAAGGAACCTCTAAACCAGTTTGAGGAGAGATTATAAATGCAGTTTTGGATTTTTGGAGTTTAAAAGCCATTCAAGATGTCCAAGTGGGGAGGTTGGATAGAGAGCTCTGAAACTCAGAAAAAGGTTCATTAATTATGTATAAATTTCAGAGGTAACAACAAATAGATGATCTGTGAAATCATGGCCATGAGAGAAATCACCTTGAGGAGAAAGTATAAAGTGAAGAGAATAGTGTTTTTGGACCAAGTTTTGGGGGAAACTCCAGCATCTAAAGGCTGCGGAGATTAAGGAGTGTCAGAAAGAACTTGTGACCTTGAAAGAAGGAAAACCAAAAGAGCTTTTTAATGTGAAACGAGAGGTCAACAGGGTCCACTTTCTGTCTATGGATTTACTTATTCTGGATGTTTCACATTAATGGAATCATATTCTATGTTACTGTTTTTGTCTGACTTCTTTCATTTAGCATGTTTTTGACATTTAACCATGTTATAGCATGTTTCAATACATTGTCCTTTTTAGGGCTGAATAAGATTCCATGTGTGGATGTACAGCATTTTGTTTACCTTTCTTCAGTTGACAGATATTTGATTTGTTTCTACTTTTGGATTATTGTGACTAGTACTGCTTTGCATATTCTTGTGTAAGTATTTGAAAACCTGTTTTTCAATTCTTTGGATATACACCAAAGGGGTGAAATTGATGGGTGGTATTTGTGGCTCAGCTGGTAAAAGAATTTGCCTGCAATGCAGTAGACTTGGGTTTGATCCCTGGGTTGGAAAGATCTGCTGGAGAAGGGAAAAGTTACCCATTCCAGTATTCTGGCCTGTAGAATTCCATGGACTGTATAGTCCATGGGGTCGCAAAGAGTCAAAAATTACTGAGTGACTTTCACTTTCATAGTAATTCTAAGTTTAACCTTTTGAGGAATCATCAAATTTTATAGAGGCTGCATTACTTTACATTCCATAAGCAATATATGAGGTTTCCAATTTCTCTATATTCTCACCAATACATTTATTTTCTCTATTATTATTATTACCAGCCTAGTGGGTGTGAGGTAGAATCTAGTTGTGGTTTTGATTTGTATTTGTCTAATAAGTAATGATATTGAACATCATTTTGTGTGCTTGTTGGCCATTTATATGTCTTCTTGGGAGAAATATCTATTCAATCCTTTGCCTATTTTTTAATTTCCTACCTCTTTTTATTGTTGAGTTGTGAAAGTTCTTCATGTATTCTGGATACTAAGTCTTTATCAGATATATTATTTATAAAAATCCCTTTCTGAAGACTGTCTTTTCATTTTCCTCATAGTGTCCTTTAATATGCAAACATTTTTAATTTTGATGAGGTCCAGTTTATTTATGTTTTCTTTTGTCGCTATGCTTTTGCTGTCATAGCTAAGATTCCACTGCCAAATCTAAGATTGTGAAGATGCACCCTTGTATTTACTTTTAAAGTTTTATAGCTTTGACTCTTATATTTAGATTCTATATTCTTTAGATTTTATTTGTAATTTGAATCATTGTTACTATCTTTGTCCAGTGAGAACCATAAACTGGGGCCTAATTTGTCTGCCAAGTAAACTGTCCTAAAGCTGACTTCTGAAAATTTCAAATCGAAGTTTTGTGGGGCTTCATAGGAGAATCTGTGTCTGTACAGCTAAATCCTTCATGATTTCATAAACTTTATATATACACTCAACCTTTTTATTCTCAAAAAAATAATTCTAATTCTCCTCCTTCAGGCTTTTATCTTTTTAAGCAGATGGACAGACTTGCACTTGACATTCAGTGGAAGCAGAAAGAAAAGTTAAGGAGAAGGACCTCCATCCTTTTTTGGCCAGTTGAGTTTTGAGAGTAGAAAATCTTGGAGAAATTAACTTGATTTTGCAATCCACAAGAGGGAAAGAAAGATCTTGTAAGAAAGTTTTGTCTGGATTTATGTGGAGCTGAGATGAGTCATATAAAGGAGAGTCATCTTACCCTGTTTTATATCTTAAACTGAACTGCCGAAATTAAATATTTTCTGAGTATATCACTTCTTTCAAACACCTTTTTTTTTGTAGGTTACTAGAGGAAAAAAATGGCCACTGGTCGTTCACCGTGTTTCTACATAGAAGAACTTAATAAATACCAACAAAAGAACGGTGTAGAAGTTAGGTATTGTGAACTGGCTAAGACAGGACCTCCACATAACTATAGGTAAGTTGCTATAAGAAAGGGTATATCCATATAAAATAAAAACTGGAAGAATAGCAACTCTGGCACAATTTTGAAGTCAGTTCTTTAGCATGAGAGCAACGCTGCCACAGAAGATGGTGAGAGTCTTTTTGATGTAAAGTGGTAACTTCAGAGGACTCCAGAGAAAAAAACGGTGTATAAACCTTAACATGCTTCAAAATGATGTACTGTTTTGCTCTTTGGGGTGTCTGCTTGAATTCTATGTGGTGATTGTTGTTCAGTCACTCACTCATGGCCGATTCTTTGCAACCCCGCGGACTACATCACGCCAGGCTTACCTGTCCTTCACTTTCTCCCAGAGCTTGCTCAAACTCATGTCCATTGAGTTGGTAATGCCATCCAACCATCTCATTCTCTGTCATCCCCTTCTCCTTCTGCCTTCAATCAGCATCAGGGTCTTTGCTAATGAGTCAGCTCTTCGCATCAGGTGGCCAAAGTATTGGAGCTTCAGCTTCAGCATCAGTCCTTCCAATGAATATTCAGGACTGATTTGCCTTAGGATTGACTGGTTTGATCTCCTTGCAGTCCAAGGAACTCTCAAGAGTCTTTCCCAACACCACAGTTCAAAAGCATCAATTCTTCACGGTCCAACTCTCACATCCATATATGACTACTGGAAAAACCATAGCTTTGACTACATGAACCTTTGTTGGGAAAGTAACGTCTGTGCTTTTTAATATGCTGTCTAGGTTGGTAATAGATTTTCTTCCAAGGAGCAAGCGTCTTTTAATTTCATGGCTGCAGTCACCATCTGCAGTGATTTGGGAACCCAAGAAAATAAAGTCTGTCATTGTTTCCATTGCTTCCCCATCTATGTGCCATTTGAATGTTGAATTTTAAGCCAACTTTTTCACTCTCCTCTTTCACTTTCATCAAGAGGCTCTTTAGTTCTTCTTCACTTTCTGCCATAAGGGTGGTGTCATCTCCATATCTGAGGTTATTGATATTTCTCCTGGCAATCTTGATTCCAGCTTGTGCTTCTTCCAGCACAGCATTTCTCATGATGTACTCTGCATATAAGTTAAATAAGCAGGGTGACAATATACAGCCTTGAAGTACTCCTTTTCCTATTGGGAACCAGTCTGTTGATCCATGTCCAGGTCTAACTGTTGCTTCTTGACCTGCATACAAGTTTCTCAAGAGGCAGGTCAGGTGGTCAGGTATGCCCATCTCTTGAAAAATTTTCCACAGTTTATTTTGATCCAACAATCAAAGGCCTTGACATAGTAAATAAAGCAGAAATAGATTTTTTTTCTGGAACTCTCTTGTTTTTTGTATGATCCAGCAGATGTTGGCAATTTGATCTCTGTTTCCTCTGCCTTTTCTAAAACCAGCTTGAACATCTGGAAGTTCATGGTTCCCATATTGCTGAAGCCTGGCTTGGAGAATTTTGAGCATTACTTTACTAAGCATGTGGGATGAGTGCAATTGTGTCTTAATTTGAGCATTCTTTGACATTGTCTTTCTTTGGGATTGGAATGAAAACTGACCTTTTCCAGTCCCATGGCCACTGCTGAGTTTTCCAAATTTCCTGACATATTGAGTGCAGCACTTTCACAGCATCATCTTTCAGAATTTGAAATAGCTCAAGTGGAAGTCCATCACCTCCACTAGCTTTGTTCATAGTGATGCTTCCTAAGGCCCACTTGTTTCACATTCCAGGATGTCTGTCTCTAGGTGAGTGATCACACTATCCTGATTATCTGGGCCATGAAGATCTTTTTGTACGCTTCTTCTGTGCATTCCTGCCACCTCTTCTTAATATCTTCTGCTTCTGTTAGATTTATACCATTTCTGTCCTTTATTGTGCCCATCTTTGCATGAAATGTTCCCTTGGTATCTCTGATTTTCTTGACGAGATCTCTAGTCTTTCCCATTCTATTGTATTTCTCTATTTCTTTGCATTGATCACTTTGGAAGGCTTTCTTCTCTCTCCCTGCTAATTTTTGGAACTCTGCATTCACATGGATGTATCATTCCTTTTCTCCTTTGCATTTTGTTTCTCTTCTTTTCTCAGCTGTTTGTAAGGCCTCCTCAGATAACCATTTTGCCTTTTTGCATTTCTTTTTCTTGGTGATGGTATTGATCACCGCATCCTGTTCAGTGTTATGAACCTCTGTCCATAGTTCTTCAGGCCCTTGGTCTATCAGATCTAATCCCTTGAATCTATTTGTCATTTCTACCATATAATCGTAAGAGATTTGATTTAGGTCTTACTTGAATGGCTGAAATCAAATTCCTTATGATTATTCTATGTGGAACACAGGTTAAAATTTTCAAAGGTATCACAGAAGGCAGTTATGATTAGAATGGTAGTTAAATAATGCATGAATTTTATGATATTCTTTGAATTTTTCTTTGAAATCAGGTTTACGTATCAAGTTATAATAGATGATAAAGAATTTCCAAAGGCTGAAGGTAGATCAAAGAAGGAAGCCAAAAATGCTGCAGCCAAATTAGCTTTTGAGATAATTAACAAAGACCGTAAGGTGAGTAATTACCTTTTTTTTTCTTTGTGAAAGGGAACTCACAAATATCTATGGTATTTTTGTCCTGTGAGAAAATACTTACATGCAGAATAAAACTATTCGCAAGTGCTTTTGCTTTCGAAGTTTAGTTCAGTCTTTCTCCTGGTCTCATTTCTATAGAACCCTGAATGAGAGGTCCACCTCAAAAAGAGTGGGCAAAATGGGGCAATATCTAATTAGAGTGCCAACAGCAGGGCATACTCTAAGGAAACAGTGAGAAATGAGCTAACAGGTTCTGGAAGGAGCCCCTCCACCTGATCGAGGGAATGCAGTGGAAAAGGGCAGAGATAGAAGGAACCATGAGGAGAATGATATATTAAAATATGGAGGGCAGATGATGCAAAAGTAACATACGTATAATTGGTATTGCTGAAGATGCAAACAGAGTAACTAGTGCAGAAAACATGGTCTCTGAAAAGAGCAATAGAAAGTATTTATGAAATAAAAAAAGAGCTACCTGCAGATTGAAGCAACTCAGCGGCTCATAAGATACTGAAGAATATGAAAACACCAAGAACGTTGGCCTTTGTGAAAGGACTGAGCTCCAGGGATGAAGAAAGAATCCTACAAGTATCCAGGCAGAAGAACTTAATATAACGAAATATAAAAATGAAAAAAAAGTCATGCTGCCCACACCACCGTTAAAAACCAGAAGACTCTGGAGCAGCATCTGTAAAATGAGGCAGGAAGTCATTTTACATGTGGGACAAAAGTGGGTCATTGTCAAATTTTCAAAAATTTTCAGAGTTTCAGTATTCAAGATACTTTCATGAAAAATCTTACTCAATGGGATCTTCTTGGTGATCTAGTGGTTAAGACTCCAGGCTTCCACTGTAGGGGGCACAGATTTGATCCCTGGTCTGGGAAATAAGATATCAAGTACCATACAGTGCAGCCAAAAAATATATATATATTTTAAATTTTACTTGAAGATGTCACCCTTTTAATCAAAATCAAGCAAAATAAATCAGGAAAACCCACAAACTTATAAATCATTAATGAGCTAGAAAACCAAGTCATGAAGTCAGAAAAAGAACAGTAGAATACCTTAACCCATGAAAAAGCAGAAGAAAGACAGTGATAACAAAAGGGAAGAAATTGATGTGAAAAAAACAAAGATATGATAAAGAAGGTCAATAAAACCAAAAATTCTTTGACAAAGTTAACAAAGTAGAAAAACTTTGGGCAAGATTTTGACAGATTGGAAAAGGGCAGAGATAGAAGGAACCATGAGGAGAATGATATATTAAAATATGGAGGGCAGATGATGCAAAAGTAACATACGTATAATTGGTATTGCTGAAGATGCAAACAGAGTAACTAGTGCAGAAAACATGGTCTCTGAAAAGAGCAATAGAAAGTATTTATGAAATAAAAAAAGAGCTACCTGCAGATTGAAGCAACTCAGCGGCTCATAAGATACTGAAGAATATGAAAACACCAAGAACGTTGGCCTTTGTGAAAGGACTGAGCTCCAGGGATGAAGAAAGAATCCTACAAGTATCCAGGCAGAAGAACTTAATATAACGAAATATAAAAATGAAAAAAAAGTCATGCTGCCCACACCACCGTTAAAAACCAGAAGACTCTGGAGCAGCATCTGTAAAATGAGGCAGGAAGTCATTTTACATGTGGGACAAAAGTGGGTCATTGTCAAATTTTCAAAAATTTTCAGAGTTTCAGTATTCAAGATACTTTCATGAAAAATCTTACTCAATGGGATCTTCTTGGTGATCTAGTGGTTAAGACTCCAGGCTTCCACTGTAGGGGGCACAGATTTGATCCCTGGTCTGGGAAATAAGATATCAAGTACCATACAGTGCAGCCAAAAAATATATATATATTTTAAATTTTACTTGAAGATGTCACCCTTTTAATCAAAATCAAGCAAAATAAATCAGGAAAACCCACAAACTTATAAATCATTAATGAGCTAGAAAACCAAGTCATGAAGTCAGAAAAAGAACAGTAGAATACCTTAACCCATGAAAAAGCAGAAGAAAGACAGTGATAACAAAAGGGAAGAAATTGATGTGAAAAAAACAAAGATATGATAAAGAAGGTCAATAAAACCAAAAATTCTTTGACAAAGTTAACAAAGTAGAAAAACTTTGGGCAAGATTTTGACAGATTGGAAATTTTAAAAGGGGCAGATAATAGTGGAAGGAGTAATGCTATTATATTCATGTTTCCTATGAAGTTGTGATCCAGGATATAACTTTACTTCAGTATGTGTTATCTTGTCCTTTGAGATTACAAAAGATGCAACAAATCAGAAAGTCTTATAGTTTAACCTAGATAAACAAGAAAATCGACTATTTTGTTTTCCCTTATGAAACTGTAAAAGGAAAATAGCTAATGTCTTTTCTTGTTAAAATTTATCCTTATGGGTTTTTTTTTTTCTTTTAGTCAGTTACTTTTTCTTCTCAGCTGACAACAAATACTCCAGAAGGACCACCCATTGAGAATTACATAGGCCGTCTTAATACGATCTCCCAGAAGAAAAACCTATGTGTAATTTATGAAGAATGTAAATCAAAGGGTGATGGGCCCGAAGGGTGAGATGTTGTTTTTCCTTCTGTTTCACTATATCTAAGCAATAGAGCAGCCTTATTTTCATGTCTAACTTTCCAAAAATACCTGTCCTTTTTGGTACATTCTGCAGAGGTTTTTTATGACTTTATTGCAGTTTGACATCTCTGTGATGAAAATATTAAAATGCTTCGTTGCTGAAGTCCGGGGACCCTTATCCCACAATTGATCAAGTCTGGGAAATCCTTTATTTCTGAGATCTCTCTGGATGGTTTAGTCTGCAGGAAACCTAAGCAAAGTCAAGTGATGAAAACCTTCCCATCCCTGAGGTCACAGTGGCTGTGTGAGAAGAGTCCTGCCACGTGTGTGGAATGAGTCTCTTTCCACCCTTGTCAGAATAAAGATGTTTGCCCTTCAGATTTTATTGAATAGTGTCACTCTCTAGACAAGTACTATGTATTCGAAAGAATGGGTTTAGGGAAGTTCTTGGTGGACCATAGGTTTAGGAAACCCTGGTCCAGTGGTTAAGACTTTGAGCTTCAAATGCAGGGGGCATGGGTTCGAATCCTGGTTGGGGAGCTAAATCTTGTATGCTGTACGGCCAAAAGAATTAAAAAAAAAGCACTTCCCTGGTACTCGAGTGGTTAAGAGTCAGCTCGCCAATAATGCAGGAGAGGTGGATTTGATCCCTGGTCCAGGAAGATCCCACGTGCCAGGAAGCAACTCAGCCCAGGCCCTGAAACTACTGAGCCTGCAATCCAGAGCCCGTGCTCCACAGCAAGAGAAGCCACCACCATGAGAAGCCCATGAAGCAAAATGAAACCCAAAGCCACCAAAAAGAAATCAGTAAGGACCGGGTTTTCACCCTGGATGGTGAGGAGACCAAGATTTGAGGGATATGATGAGAGGGGTGGATGAGAAGGTCAGTCAGAAATAATGAGAACTTCTCACCAGTGAGCAGAGGCTTTGGAGATGAGGATGAAGAATGAATTTGAACTTGGAAAAGCAGAAAGCAAATGAGTGTGAAGAAGGTTGTTTCTCAGCTATAGCCAACCAGTTAAATGAGAGAGAAGGACAAAAATTCTAAAAGGCGAATAGTCCAAACACCCACTTTAGGATACTGTTCTATGAACTTTATTATTCACGCCAATGGCTTGTAGGCCAGAACCAGGAAGACAAAAATGTGATAGGATTCACTGGAATGAAAGAGTCAAAAGTGAATTCTGTGAGTCAATCTCCATAAATTAAGGCTATTTTATTTTCCTGTAGCTCACCTGTTGGTTCCTTTGACCTAGTGCTTTAACGTTTGATTGTTAAAAAAAAGAAGACTGTTTAGGGAGTGCTGAAGAAAAACAGGAGTCACAGAAATAATCGAGTCCTTCAGCCCAGTTCCCTAATTTTCCTTCAGAGCCTAGTGGAGAAGACTCACTGGTAGAGTCTGTTTCCATCCACGATGAATAATACTGCCATAATTCTGTAGCACTACATGGTAACTCCATAAAATAAATGTCCATGTCTGTTGCTTTGCCACCTTAAATATAGTTCTTCTATAATTGTCCCAAGCTCCTTGCCTAACTTCAAGCATTTTTATAGCTCGTGTGAAAATTAAGTGATTTCAGCATGGGACTTTTGCATTGTGAGGATTTGCTTAGGTTTTTGTGTACATGAGCAGGGGGGCGTAGAAAATGGTGAAGTTAGAGCTGGAGTTAGACATGCTTGGCACATTTCCTCCAAAACACTTTCACCTTATTATTCTCCTGTAGAAGCCTCTGCGGATTTTATCATATCAGTTGAACATCTCTGAAAAATTCATTAGATCTCTTTCTTCTTTCTCTGCCCCCGCATCTTTTGACTTTTGGGGAATTTTAAAAAATCACCACTTGGTACCTTAATGCCACATCTTTCAATGAAGCAGCAAAGAGTTAGAACTTCCCTGGAGAATGGAAGATTCTTTACCTAGTGCCACCAGGGAAGCCCTCGTTGAAATTAAGTAAGATATGAACTATTAATCTATCTATTAAATTGGTGTTATATTTAGCCCTTTGTTAAGGTGTGTTTTTTTTTCTGAAAACACATGAGTTACATCTACTGTTTTTTGGTATTTGATTTAATACTCTTTATCATTTCTCCTAGATTTCGTTATAAATGCAAAATTGGACAAGAAGAATATGGTATTGGTGTAGGTTTCACTAAACAGGAGGCAAAACAGTTGGCTGCCAAACTGGCTTATGAAAAGATAGAATCAGAAACAATGGTGTGTACTGCCTTGGGATTTGATTTTTATATTTTAAAGTTCTCTTTGAAGTTGATTTGAAGTTACATAATATTTAGATGACGCCGAGACAGCCAGTGGCATAGCAAAAGCACTCCTTTCTGGGTCCCACCAATGAGCCCTGGGGCCATGAAGCTTCAGAAGGATCACAGTTCTCATGACAGCTCAATGTTCTTTAAATTCAGATCAAACATCCATAAAAATATATTAATCCTGTTATTCTTTATGGCTGTGAATTTGGTAAATGTGGGAAATAAATGTGGGAGTTGGTTCACAGAGACTAAGCCACTATAAGAAGTCATTTAGTTGTACTTTTAAATCTTTCAGAGAGCTGACCAATCCTCTGATTGTTTCAATGCTGTGTCTGGTGATGTCGAAAGAAACTCTCAAGCAATGAGCACATCGTAAGTATGGACAAACAAATTCAAATCGCAGCCTGAAAGAGCAGATATTTACGAAAATGTTTAATGTTGAAGGAGAATTTAGAAAAAGCAATTACTGATCAACAAAAAATAGGCAGAATTCATAAACTAATAGCTGTCCTCTTTTCTTTTAGTAGTTCTGAATCACCATCTGAAAATGGCTTCTCAACAAATGCCTCAGAAAGAAGTGATAACAGTGACACAAACAGCTCTTTCCTGTCTCCAGGGGTATAGTATTAGTATCTAAGTTTCCTAGTTAATCTTATTTTCCTTTGTGTTTCTCCATTTAAAAGTGACCTCCAGTACCTGTCATAATTTTTCAATTTTTTTTATGGGCTCTTATTAAATCTAAATGTTTTGTAGCTTTTTCTCTCTCCTTTCTTTATAAACTCCCATTCCTCACATGCAAAATTTTTCTGCTCTTCACTCCCATCTTTCTCTCCCTACTCACCTTTGTATTTTTCACGTATTCCTATAATCTGGCTTCTTTTCTTCTATCAATTGGATGGTATTTAGAAGGTTCACTCATAGATTTCTGCTTCTGTTTTAATAAACCAGAGCTAAACTTAAAAACTGAACTTAAAAATCAGATAGTCTTTGTGGTGATGATTAGTGTTACCAAAGTATTATATTTTTAAAGAACTAGAAAGACATCCCTGGTGGTGCAGTAGCTAAGACTCCATGCTCTCAATGCAAGGGGCCCAGGTTCCATCCCTGGTCAGGGAACGAGATCCTGCATACTGCAACAAAGACCTGGCATAGTCAATTAAATAAATATTTTTTTAAACTACAAACAAATCAATAAGAAAAAGATAAGCAACTCAGTAAAAAAGTAAAAAGTGTACAAAAGAACTGAACAGACAGTTCAGAAAAGAGATACCCAAAAGGGCAACAGACATATGAAAAGATGCTTACTTAATAATAATCAGGAAAATGCAAATGAAAACAATAGCTAGATACCATTTTAAACCATCCGATTGGCAAAATTTGAGTCTGGCTATCCTAAGTGTTGACACAGCTCTGTTCCTGTTATACCTATGACATCCTATTACAGCAATATTCTATGTTGCTGGCTGATGTATAAATTGGTTCGACTGTCTTAGAGATCAATTTGGCAACATGTAGTGGAGTGGAGGGTGTGCAAGCTGTGCTGTCAGTTCTACTCCTAGATATGTCTTTTAGAGAAACACATGTATGTGTGCACAGAGATACATGTATAAGTATGTTCTTTGCAAAATTGTTTGTAATAGAAGAGATTGGAGAAAATATTGTCCATTTACAGAATGTCTGAATTAATCATAATGCAGTCACTGTGCAAAACTGAGGCTGGCGGGTGATAGGAACTCAAGAAATCTTAGTCTGATGTTTGCACTCTGTGTCAACATACTAAAATTGTTAAAATAAAACCACAACACCTACCAGAATAAAAGTGAATATGCTTGAAGAAGAGCTATATTAATTTTTGAGAGATATGTCCAAGATTCCTCTTTTTTGGCTAAATGTTAAAGTTAAATTATTGATTTGTCCTGAAAATGTTTTAAACTAGATCCCTGGGCCCCATGTGTTTTCTTTACTAGCACTGTGAGTAATTGTAATGCATAGTTTCTTGCTGAGATCTGCTGGCCAGAGGATCATCTGGGAAGCCATATTCTATGCCTGGAGAGTCAGTGCTTCTGTGGAACATGCCCTGCAGTTCTAGCTTTTTTTTTTTCTGGTTGTGCAGCGCAGCATGTGGGATCTTAGTTTCCTGACCAGAGATCAAACCTGTGCCCCTTGCTTTGGAACAGAAGTGCAGAGTCTTAGCCACTGAATCTCAGGGCCCCAACAATTTGTGTTTTTTGACCTTCTTATCGTATCTGTCTTTGCTATAATTGATGAGAACACTGATACAGACAAATACACTGAAAGCAGGGCTTACTGAGAGCATATGAATTGATGAGGTTGTTAATCTTAGGGACAAAGAAATGTGGTCAGAGAACCATCTAGAAGTACAGGAGAAAGGATGGCCAAGAAAAGCAGGATACTTGACTTAATCATCTGAAACTATTTTCCATTTTCTTTTGTTATAGGACAGTTTCAGAAATAATGCCAGGAAGGTGAAGAGGTGAGTATCATCATGCATTGGACTTATTTAGAAATGAAGTTTTATTTCAGATCTAGTTTGTTCATCTTACTTATGAAGTCTTCAGTATTTGTATTGTATGCCCTTATTTGAGTGGAGTTTCAGGAGTACAAAGCATAATTAAGGCTCACAGAAATCTTGAAATCTATGAATAAATAATTTTAAATACATAGAGAAGTTTTGAACATATGCACACAATACATTGTAGACATAAAGGCCCATGGGGCTATTGGTCGAGTAACTGGTTAAGGGCATTGTTTTGGACAAGTCTGACAGAAGAAGTGGGCTTGTAGAGGTATTCTTAAGAGAAATGTATTGTGTGAATTCCCTGGTGACCAACTGGCTAGAACTTAGCACTTTCACTGCTGAGGGCCAGATACAATTTCTGGTTGGGGGAATTAAGATCCCATAAGCCACATGGCACAACCCCCCCAAAAAGAGAGAAGTGTATTATTTTACAGACAAGCAGGTAGGGTAGAAATGTTATCGTAACTCAGGGAAGAAATAAATGATCAGACGTTCTGTAAATTAGGGAGACTTGGCTTCTTGAACGGAGGAGAAAAGCGAGGATGTGAATACAGTCAGCAGTGGGAGTAAGGTGGCAGCAGGAGCCACCACGAGGCACCAGTACATTCTGAACAGTAGGTAACACTCGCAGAAAGATGATGCCAGATGCTGGTGTTCAGATGGAGAGAGGCGAGGTCTGTGTGTAAGATGATCAGGCCATCAGACTGATCTGGTGATGGGGAGGAGGAGAATTTGTGAGACAGACTGTAAAAGAAGAGTAAACATAACTTGAGGAAATAGAGTTAAAGAACTGGGTGAAGAAGATGCAAAGGAAAAAGGAAATGAAGATTGTTCCTTGTGAATGAGATGCAGACAAGTGTCATGGCGCTGATGGTGTTAAGGGATTCCAAGATTTAGAGGGAAGATTGTTGTCTAACTCTATGATCCCATGGACTGTAGCCCACCAGGCTCCTCTGTCCATGGGATTTCCCAGGCAAGAATACTGGAGAGGGTTGCCATGACCCCTCCAGGGGATCTTCCTGACCCAGGGATCAAGCCCTCATCCCTTGTGTCTCCTGCACTGGCAAGTGGATTCTTCACCACTGCGCCACCTGGGAAACCTGGAGGGAAGATAACAATTTGTGTTTGTTTAGTTTTAGGTGGCATTTGGACTTCCAGTTGTAGGAGGCTTACCACCAGCAAGGAATAAATGACAAAGGAAACACAACCAGGATGAGAATTCAATGAGACACATTTCCTAAGGTTCTGAGTCTAAAGGGAGAAAAAGAGGCTAGCGGCATGCTGGCAATGAATGTGTTAAGGCTGAAAAACACAGGAAAGGAGTGAAAATTTGTTAGAGCACAGAGAACCAAATTGATTCTAAAGAAAAATGTTAGTACTTGCTACCCTGTTATTCTGATAGTTGACTCACAACATAAAAAGCCTACTGCATAGCATAAAATCCACTCTTGATAAGTTATATTTCATTTTAGCTTTGAATTCATGTGCTTCTCTTAACTTTTAGAAGTTTGGCGCCTAATTTTTACTCTCCTATGAGGACAGAAGAAAACAGTTACAGTGCAGACCCCAGGTAAGAGGGGAAACCATGAAAAAGAAAAAGAATTTGTTTAAGGATACATGTACAAAAGTTGACAAAAGTTTCTTAAGGGACAGTTGAACATCAGGCAGGTTAAGTTATATCTCTCCCTGAACAGTTTGTTTTAGCTCAATCAGGCCCACAAAGGATCATTGTCTTGTGGAGGAGTACAGTTTAGGTGAGTTCAAATGGAATGTGGTGTCTGTGTGATACTCCTGTGGGTTTCTCTGATATCTCTGGGAGGTTTTAATATTGGAAGCCAATATTTCTGTAAACCAGTAACTTTTTTTCAAGAAAAGTACTCCTGCAGGAATCAGAATAGATCCATTTGAATCTGTTTTCCATTTTCCAGCTTCATAGCAGATTTCACTTTTTTAAAAAGGGCTCCTTTGGTGGTCGATTGCATGTTTGGTCTTAAATAAAGTGTCTTTTAAAAAGGAGGCCTATTTGCAACAGAGGAACATGGAATACAAGCTTAAGAAATAATAAAGAATCACCAAATGCTTGATAAGTACCTAATATATATCTGGCACTGTGCTGGGCATCGTATTCATAGCAGGAACATAGAAACAGCCCCTGTCCTACAGTTTTTGTGGGGATGATAATTACGCACTGTGACCAGAGGTCTGAAGGAAAAGCCATGGCGTGGTTAGACACGACAGCAGGACCCTTGAATTTAGGGTGAAGGATGAGGCAGGGCTTTCTCTGGGTCACATTTGTGGGGAGGCCTGAGGGATGAGTCAGCACAGGGCGGTGGGGAGCCCCTGGTACTGTGCGAAAGAGAAGCGCATGGGAAGGCGAAGCGGGAAAGGTAATGTGAGCACCCGAGGAACTGAGAGAAAGCCACGTGCTGGGAGGGCAGTGGCCAAGGACCCGGGGTCGCCAGACAGGCTGGAGACGGACAAACAGGTGGCCCCTGGAAGCCCACGTCAGGGTTTTCTGGGTTTTGCTGAAGGCAGGGGCAGGCTTGGGAAGCGTTTGGGCAATAGTTGTGATCAGACTTAGTATTTATCACACTGATCGCTGTGAGGATCGTGGACTGGAGCAGAGGAAGGAGAGGAGGTGGTGTGTCCTCTGAACAGGGTTCGGCAGGAGTCTTATTGGAAGCTTGGGCCAATGGGGGAACGTGGGCAGACACCCGCAGATGTGTTTTGGAAAGAAAATTGGCAGGTCTTAATGATGGAAGGTGGGGCAGGAGAAAGAGGGGAAACCCAGAGAGTTGCAAACATAAGCAGGCTCATTTCTCGTAGAACAGCTTGGTGGTAGCAGGAAACACAGTGTGGCACTCTTTTCTAAAGTTTTTTACTTGGAATAAAAGATTCTTTACCATGGTTTTTGTGCAGCCAGGCAGTGACTGACTCCCAGGAGTGATCTGTTATGTTGGGATGGGAAGAGGGAAGAACTATCCTTTTTGATTCAAGAGTTTCTGTGAAATGCATCCTTCTTACTCAGAAGGGGAGAGTCCTGTTTGTTATACAGTCCATTTCACTAGTACCTTTAAGGGAAAGCAGAAGGGTTGGAGTGGAGGAACAGAGGATGTTGAACCTCAGAATAACAGCAGCATTTCTCTCTCAAGGTTGGTCAAGGATTTCACAGAAGTAACACCAATTGGCTCAGGTGGATTTGGCCAAGTTTTCAAAGCCAAACACAGAATTGATATGAAGACTTACGTTATTAAATGTGTTAAATATAATAGTGCGTAAGTAGTAATATTTTATTTTTTTTAAATGTGAACCTGCAATGTTCTTTTTAATGTATCTCTCTTCTTCATTAGTATGTTTTTTTTCTGGTCCTCCTTGAAAGTATCGTTCATGAGGAGAATGGTATTTGGCTTACTCTGAAATGACCTCACTTCACCATAGTCACTTTAATTAAAAAATGGATATACCATTGATTATCCTTGAGGCTGTCTTGATGAGAACTAAAGTTATAAAATCTTTTAGCTCAAGGTGACCTTTGAGTTTTTCTAGTCTCATCTCCTTATCTTACAGAGGAGGCGAGTGAGATTCAAAGATGTGAACTGATTTGCTAAAGGTAAAAGCTGGTTGAAAATTGTGCTGGTTGTCTATTATTGCGTAATACACCACTCCAAAATGCAGTGGCTTAAACACCAAGTTGTTATTATCTCTTGTGGTCCTGTGAGTTGACTATGCTCACCCGGGCCCTTCATCATGCATTTGCAGCCAGGAGTTGTCTGAAAGCTTGGCCTAGCTGGACGTCGGAGATGGCTCTCTCACATGGCTGGCAGTGATGCTGGCTGTGGCCCCAAGTGCAGTTGGCGCTGTTAACCAGAGCGCCTCCACCTGGCCCCTTTATGTGGCCTGGGCGTTTCACAGCTTAGTTGTTGGGGTCTAAGAAGGACTGTCCTAGAGCAACTCATCCCAGGAGGGAGCAGTCTTGGAAGTTCCACATCGTATTGATTAAACAAAGTCACTATGGTCAGCTCGAGGGAGAGGGCAAATAGACTCTTCCAGCTTAATCTGAGGAGTGGATGCGAGCATGGGGAGAGAAGAAATTAATGATGACCATCCTTGGGCCCTATCTCCTGTGGTAGCAAGGTGGAGATTTAGAGTTCATCCTCTGGAATTCCAGTCTACTGTGTTCCCACCATATCCCAATGCTTCCCATGTTTGTTTTATGTATTATCTGTGCCCCTCCCTACCCCCACCCCAATTATTGGATAACAGAACTCCTTTAGGAAGGAAGACACAGAGGAAGGAGCTCTGAAATCCCATGTTCACTGATCTTGCCTGTTATTTTCTGGCAGCTGTTATTATTTGTAATTTGGCCAGACAGATCCCTCAAGGATCAGAAAAGGAGATGGAAAAGGGATATAAGTGAAGGAAAATGACATAAGAAAAGAAGCAGGTGTGGTTTTTAGATGCTCTTCTTCCAGTCAAACCAACCTATTGTCTGTCCTGTGGACAAAGCCTTGCAGGTGAAATACCTTCATACTACTTGGCATCAAAACAAGGCTTTTTCTTTCTTCGTTGTTTTGCTTACCAGGAATACTGCTGTTCCTTCTATCCCATGACATCTTTTTTAATGGTAATCCTTCATGATGATAAGGGTGCAGTACCTTGAACATTTCTCATGGCTTCATAGATTGGTATAGCACAGTTAAAAATACACTTGGAGATATGCATCAAGAAGCATAAAATTAGACCAGAAACTATAAAACTCCTAGAGGAGAACATAGGCAAAACACTCTCCGACATAAATCACAGCAGGATCCTCTATGACCCACATCCCAGAATTTTAGAAACAAAAGCAAAAATAAACAAATGGGACCTAATGAAACTTAAAAGCTTTTGCACAAGAAAGGAAACTATAAGCAAGGTGAAAAGACAGCCCTCAGATTGGGAGAAAATAATAGCAAATGAAGCAACAGACAAAGGATTAATCTCAAAAATATACAAGCAACTCCTCCAGCTCAACTCCAGAAAAATAAATGACCCAATCAAAAAATGGGCCAAAGAACTCAACAGACATTTCTCCAAGGAAGACATACAGATGGCTAACAAACACATGAAAAGATGCTCAACATCACTCATTATCAGAGAAATGCAAATCAAAACCACAATGAGGTACCATTATACGCCAGTCAGGATGGCTGCTATCCAAAAGTCTACAAGCAATAAATGCTGGAGAGGGTGTGGAGAAAAGGGAACCCTCTTACACTGTTGGTGGGAATGCAAATTAGTACAGCCACTATGGAAAACAGTGTGGAGATTTCTTAAAAAGCTGGAAATAGAACTGCCATATGACCCAGCAATCCCACTTCTGGGCATACACACCGAGGAAACCAGATCTGAAAGAGACACGTGCACCCCAATGTTCATCGCAGCACTGTTTATAATAGCCAGGACATGGAAGCAACCTAGATGCCCATCAGCAGACGAATGGATGAGGAAGCTGTGGTACATATACACCATGGAATATTACTCAGCCATTAAAAAGAATTCATTTGAATCAGTTCTAATGAGATGGATGAAACTGGAGCCCATTATACAGAGCGAAGTAAGCCAGAAAGATAAAGACCATTACAGTATACTAACACATATATATGGAATTTAGAAAGATGGTAACGATAACCCTATATGCAAAACAGAAAAAGAGACTCAGATGTATAGAACAGACTTGTGGACTCTGGGAGAAGGCGAGGGTGGGATGTTTCAAGAGAACAGCATTGAAACATGTATATTATCTAGGGTGAAACAGATCACCAGCCCAGGTTGGGTGCATGAGACAAGTGCTCGGGCCTGGTGCACTGGGAAGACCCAGAGGGATCGGGTGGAGAGGGAAGTGGGAGGGGGGACCGGGATGGGGAATACATGTAAATCCATGGCTAATTCATTTCAATGTATGACAAAAACCACTGCAATGTTGTGAAGTAATTAGCCTCCAACTAATAAAAATAAATGGGAAAAAAAAAGAAGCATAAAATTATTTATATGCTTTGACCTATGGATTTCCTATTGGGAACCTATTCCAAGGATATTACCCAGATTATAGGAAAAGTTATTCAAGTAGATAAAAATCAATGTCATTTATAACAGTGAGAAATTAGAGCAAACAGAACGTTCAGCAATAAAGGAATGATTTAGTATGTTTTCTGCTCTCCTCTGATCAATGACTATTTTGCAGTCATTAAAAGTGAGGGTTATATACTGTAAATATTTATACACACTGTGAATGGTATGATGCTAGAAGTTGCTTCAGAATAATCCAGGGAAAGATAAGGAAGTAGGTAAGAGTATACAGGAAACAAGATTGGCCAGGCGTTAATTACTGTTTCATCTGATGGCCAGGTAGGGGTTCATTCTACTATTTGCTCTACTTTTTAATACTTTTGAAATGTTACATTAAAATGTTTATACATGATGGTTAGACAGATTGTATAGTAATAGGGAAAAATTTAAAGATAATATATGAGAAAATACAGGATAAATACATATACTATAATTACACATATGTAAAAATGTATATGAAGAAAGACTATAAGAAATCATCTAAACTTATAAGTGTGTTAGGATTGTGTTAATATATGAGTAATTTTTTTCTCTATTTTTATAAATTTTGTATCATATAGAACTTTTCAAATTCAAAAAATAAGTTGCAGAATGTTTGCTTATCCTTTTTCATCCTTGAAACCTAAAATTTATGTACTCCACTCGGCATACGATTGTCATAACTCTTACCTACGCATTCCTGTAAAGCTCCCACGTTGTGCAGTGAAATTTCAGTTTCTCTGTATAGATCACCCTCTGTGTGTATTTTTGCCACGCACTGAAAATTCTGAATTAGGTTTTTCATGCTGTTTGGATTACCTACCCTTGCTGCCCAAATGGGGTTTGCTTTTGAAATCAAAAGTGATTTTAACACAAGTCTAAATAAAACATAATGGATGATTTTTATTTTAGCTCCAAAAACTTTTTGCATCACTGATAGCTCACAAGAGTACTACCTATGACTTCTAAATTGTCTGAGGTTTGGAATAATTTTAGTCACTGTTTTTTTTTTTTTCTTATGTTGAAAGTGAAAACAGCTGATTTTTTCTGTGTTCACACTTTCCTTTTGAGAGCTGCTGGCTTGCATCCTAAACCTCAGTGTGGGAACCATGACAGCTGTTTAATAAGGGAATATTGGTGATTGTCTCCTATTGCTCAAGGTGTTTTGTTATTATCAGGGATGGAAACTGATGCCTTTATGTTCCGTTCCTTTTAACTAGGAAGGTAGAGCGTGAAGTGAAAGCTTTGGCAACACTTAATCATCCAAATATTGTTCACTACTACAGTTGTTGGGATGGGCTTGATTATGATCCTGAGAAAAGCATCAATTCTTCAAGGTAACTAAAAAAAAACTATCATAGTTTTAATAGGAGGAGCGAAACTTGTTTACTGTGTGTGGATCAGTGGGTAAGGCCACTAATTATTACATTTAATAACCATAACCAGAAACTCTGAGACACTGTTGTGCCTCCATTCGACAAATGAGGAGACAATGAATAATCTTTTCCTTGCTGCAAATTTGCTTTAAAAAACGCTTTTTTTAAATCGTCCTCAGTGGCTTCCCTGGTGACTCAGATGGCAAAGATTCTGCCCGCAGTGTGGGAGACCTGGGTTTGATCCCTGGGTTGGGAAGATCCCCTGAAGAAGGAAACAACCCACTCCAGTAGATTCTTGCCTGGAGAATTTCACTGACAGAGGAACCTGGTGGACCACAGTCCAGGGGGGTCGCAAAGAGGCACACAGCTGAGTGGCTAATGCTTTCTGTGGTTTTTGAGATCCCAGGCTTGGGTTTCCCGACTCTGTTGTTTAAATTACAGGCTTTTTCACGTTCCCGGACTCCAGTCCAGGTGGTAAATGCAGTCTTGCGAGGAAGGCCCTGCAACTGGAGGCCCCCTCCCCCCACTGCTAACGCTCTTCTGCTCCACTCAACTGGTTGGCAGGGTGCAGTCACGGGATCCCTTCTGTGTGTATCATGCCATGCGTGGTGAGCTGATGGGCAGTCTGAATAATTCCAAGACCCTGAGCTGTGATGGGGGTACCCCCGGCCCTTGCATCACTCATGTCTGTCTCAGGCAAACCACTGCACAAGGCCTGAAGGTTCATAAAGAGCCTCCCTTTGAAAGTCATCCAGGGTTCCCTGGAGACAGTCGTTCCAGTGCAAACCTGAGGCCATGGTGAGCCTGTTCATTCACCACCTCCTGACTCCAGCCCTGTCTCCACACCGTGTAGTTTAGAACTGTATCATTAGTTTCAGAAGTACCATCCGCATATGGACTTCTTCAGCTTTTAGAAAATTCCTGGCTACCTTTTTCTATTTTCCAGCCAACATAAGCTCAAAGAATTCAAATTCATATTAAAGCCAACTTAGTTCAGAAAAGAACAACTACCATGATCAGCAAAGTCGGTCCTCCTTGCTGTGTGGTGAGTGCTCAGTTGCTCAGTCGTGTCCAACTCTTTGTGACCCCGTGGACTGTAGCCCCCCCAGGCTCCTCTGTTCATGGGATTTTCCAGACAAGCAAACTGGAGTGGGTTGCCATTTCCTACTCCACAGGGTTTTCCCAACCCAGGGATCAAACTCATGTCTCTTGAGTCTCCTGCATTGGCAGGCAGATTCTTTGTCACTAGCGCCACCTGGGAAGCCCTGCCTCATTGCTATTCCTCATGACAATTGTTGGCATTTCTCTCAGAGCTCCTATCCATGTGCTACTGCAGCAGTCCCTAACCTTTTTGGCACCAGGGACTGGTTTCATGGAAGACAATTTTTCCATGGGCCAGGGAGAGGGGATGGTTTGGGGATGATTCAAGCATATTACATGTTTTGTGCTCTTTATTTCTATTATTATTATATAACTCCACTTCAGATCATCAGGCATTAGATCCCAGAGGTTGGGGCCTGCTCTACTGTTGTTTTCTGCTTGTTTTTCCTTTATCTCTCTCCCATCAAACTATAATCCTCATGAGAGCAAGGCGAGTGTCTAACTCATTTTCTTATCTTTAGCTACCTGTTCCATGTCTTTTGCAAAATAGATGCTCAGTAGAGCAATGATGAATTAAAATGTTTCAAAATTGCAATATATAATAATGAAATTTGGTTTTCTGCAATTCCATCGTACTTATGCTTCTCCTCCTATCTATTAGCAAAGATATTCAAGGACCTTCAGCGTTAAAGAATGAGAAGGCTGCTACTTTACAGCTTAACTAAACAAAGCTTTGATATCTGGGAACTTATGACCTAAATAAACAGTGGTTTATTATGTGTTGACTCACATTTGTTATATTTAGATTTCTGTTTTGAGACATATTTGGCATTTTTAAGAAGGTGTCATCTTTTAATCTAATTTTTAAGCGCATTTTTTATAAATTTATTTTTATTGCTACTTTTAACATACAGTGAATTTTATCCCAGACCAAAGACTAGGTGCCTTTTCATCCAAATGGAATATTGTGATAAAGGTACGTTGGAGCAATGGATTGACAAAAGAAGAGGCAAGGAACCAGACAAACATTTGGCTTTGGAGTTCTTTCAACAAATAGTAACAGGAGTGCATTATATACATTCAAAAGACTTAATTCATAGAGACCTTAAGGTGAGTGGAAAATGGGCTGTATTGGGAATTGGTAAATAGAATTTATTAATGTGAAAGTCTATCTTCTTTAGTTTTAGAATCGATAGACAGTCGTGAGGATATAACATCTCTGATCCTGTATGGTTAGAGTGGGTATAGCACTTGCCCCAGGCACCAATCTACAGAGTCAACCAGGTGGTTGCCAGGGCTGTAAACGTACTGAGATGCTGAGCTCTGTAAGAAACTCATTGCTCATTCACTTCTGGTCCTGTTTGTCGTCCTGGCTGATACCTTCACCCCAGTTGTAAACACTAGCAGCTTTAGTATACTGAACACTGCTGTGCACATACTCCTTGTGGCCGGCCCATCCAGATGAGTGCTCTGTCTCTGCCTCCGCTGCTGCCCAGGCTTGTCTGAGAGGCAGAAGAGACTCTGGTCACTCTGGCTTTGGGAACACGATTCTCTTAACCTTCTAAGTCATTACTCTCGAGGGCAGTCACAGCCACTAAGTCCAGAGTCTAGAATTTGCTTGGCACTTGGTGAGACATCTCTGCCCCATGATTGGAAAACTGCAGCAATGCAAACCTTGGAACATGCAGTATACTTTCGTATTTTCCTTTTCTTCTGGCTTCCTAGCTTCTCTCATGGTCTAGATGAGCAGTTTTCCCATTTCCTCCTCAAAATCAGACAGAAGAGCTTTTCAGTCTTCCCTCGGCACTCTGTTCCCTGTGATTTGCCTACAGTCGTCACAAACCGCCCATGCTGAATCCTGTCACCAAACCTTTGCTCATGGGCTCACATGAGACACTCTTCTACCTGTCCCCTTTGGTCTCATTTTCTTTATGAGCCTTTCCTGGTCATTCTGGATCAGACAGAAGCACCTCGTCTATATGGACCTTGGGCTTATCCCACATGACTAAAACAGCCAGGAATGAGAAACAAAGAAAAACATGCCTTGAGAAAAATAAGCAGCCATGTACATGGTTGTTTGTTGGCCTTGGTGGGAAAAGATGGCCCTTAAGAAGTATTGCATCCTTGGTCTTCTCAGGGGCTAGATGTCTGATGCCTTCATATTGGGGTGCCTCTGGTTCCAATATCTCGTTTTGTTAATAACAGTATCTGAAAGTGTTCTTTGAAGTTGGAAGGATATAAGGACTCTGTTCAAAAGAATACATTTACAATGGCTGTATCTTCACTTTGACATGAATCATATAGAGTTAAATAAGAAATTAAGCACAATTATCTATTTATACAATCATTTGCAAATAAATTATCTACTTACACAGTCATCTCCTCTACTCAGAGGTTTGGGTATTTCCTCCCAGGCCCTCATCAGAACAAGTTAGTGAAAATGCTTAGTGCTCCCTTCTCCCACCACGTGGCCGGCCCTCCTGTACCCTGCACTGGCTGTGCCTCTTGTCGAGGAGTCATCTTTTCTTGTGTCTGTTTGCAGAGAGTTTGCTCTATGTCTGCAGGTGCTCAAAGGTCAGACTTTAATTCTACAGAGCCTTCTTTCATCTTTTTCAACTTGCTAACTTCATTCATACAGTTACTGCTTTTTCACATCTGAGAAAAGATGTAAACAAAAGAGTGCATCTTATTTTGTGATGCTTTGCAGAATACCTGCTGCTGGCGGCTTTGCCAGATAATGGTCTTTACTCAGTAAGCCCCTGTTCTATAAAGTCAACCAGCATTTACCTTAAGAACTAGAGCAAAGAGGCTGGTAAGAGCTACAGAGGTTTCTAGAGAGAAGGCTTATGGGCTGAGGAGGCTCAATTTCCCAATTGCCCCAGGCTCCTCCTCCGGCAGAAGTCAGAAGCCTGGAGAAATGAATATAAAGGAAGCCCCCAGGGAAAATTCTGCACATGGTATTCTGCAGCGTTACTGGGAATGGACTCATTCTGAGAATCTGAAAATTGGAGAGGATCTTAAGGGTGTCTCCTCCAATCCCTTTCAAATGCTGGACTCATGTTAGCAATGTTTCTACTAAGTAGGTGTCCAGCCCTGTCTTGACTACTTTGTAGGATGGGGAACTCTCTAACTCCCATTTGTTGGACCACACGATTACTATATTAGGATATATTAAAAGCAAGTCTTGGGGTCATTTCCATCCTCTAGTCCTGGATCCATCCCCACAGGGACCAGGCAGGAGTGAATCCATCTTTGACTTATCTTCAGATATCTGAAGGCAGCTATGCCCCAAGCTTTCTCTGCTGTCAGCTAAAATCTCTTGACTTCCTCAGCTCGCATTTTAAAGACTTATATTAATAAGTTTCCTGTTTTGGGCTACCTAGAAGAGGGTAAATGCCTTATAAGTAAATTTAAAAATAGCTGTTATGAAATATGAATTGGATATGTGATAAAACTCTGTCAAATTGGCACTTATAGCATATATTTTTTTGGCAGCCAGGTAACATATTTTTAGTAACTATGAACCAAATCAAGATTGGAGACTTTGGACTTGTTACATACCTGAAAAATCATGAAATGCGGACAAGTAAAAAGGGAACTAGGCGATACATGAGCCCAGAACAGGTGAGGTCCCCTTTCTTTCTGTCTAGATATTTTTTATCTCTTTCATTTTTTAATTATGAAAATAACAGGTACTCATAAAATTAAAACAATACATAAGTAAATAGAATGAAAATGGAAAATTACCATTACTCTTCGTTTTTATTCTTACTCTTCTCACCAGAGTTGGTAGTTTATCCTTTTAGGTCATTTTCCTTGAGTTATAAAAAATAAAAAAAAAATATATATATATTATATATATATATATTATATATATACACACACATATATTTATGGAGACTTTTTTACCTAAAAATAATAGATACATTTTATAAGGCTACTATAATGTTATTTTGTGACTTAATTTTTTGTACTCAACGGTGTATCATGATCTTTCCATATCTGTACAAATAGATCTGACACATTGTTTTTTAACAACTGTATTGTATGCCAAAATACAGATATACTGCAATCATTTAACTATTTCCTTATTGATGGGCATTTATTTAGGTTGTTTTCAACTTTTTACATTTGTAGACATGTTATATATCTTCTTCCTTACCTTTGAGTCTAAAAACAAATATTTCTATGATAATCAATGATAGAGCCTTTGAAGTGAAATTGTTGAGTAGAATGACAGGTTCAGTTCATAAAAACATAAGAAACTTTTTTAAAGGTGTGAAAGTAGAATAGGGGAGTAACAGCTTCCTTTCAACTCCCGTTCTCTTAAATGTCTTCTGCATCCAGTATTGTCATATTTTATTGAGGAAAGATTTATACACCATAAAATTCACAGATCTTAAATGTCCGTATATTTTTTTTAGTTCTAACAAAGGCATAGGTTCATGAAGCCTACAAGCCTATGAGAAGGTGGAAACATTTTCCTCACCTTTAGACCCACTTCCAATCAGCCATTCCTCTCCACTGCCCAAAGGAAACCAGTTCTCTGATTTCTATCACCATAGATTACTTTCCCCTGATTTTGAGCTTCATATGAATGGGATCACATTGTATGTGCTCTTCTATATTTGATTATTTCACTCAAAGTAATGTCTGTTGGAGAACCTCTAGTTCTTGCTTATAAATAACAGCAGATTATTCCTTTTTGTGGCTGAATACTATTCCATTGTATGAATATACCACAAGTTGTTCATCCATTCTCCTGTTGATGGACATTTGGTTTGCTTCCAGTTGTGGAATATTATGAGTGAATCTGTGATAAACATTTGCATGCAAGTGATTTACTGGGTGCTTCACCTAATGGTCTCATTTAACCCCACAGTCAAACTCTGAGGTTCAAACTATTGCTATCTCCATTTTAGGGTTTAGATTTTTCCCACATTGATGATTAGTGTATACAGGTGATTCATATATTTAGTGACAGAGATTTGAACCTGGGTAGTCAGGGTCTACATATCTTGCTAATAAATGTACATTGTTGTGTGTTATAAGATATTTTGGTTAGATAACTTTTTGGCTTTAGAAGGCATGAATATTTATATCAGGTGAGTCACGAATATAAATGGGTTTTTTTTCAGCTTTCTTCTGTGAAAGACTATGGAAATGAAGTGGACATCTATGCTTTGGGGCTGATTCTTGCAGAGCTTATTCATATATGTCCCACTTCTTTAGAAACATCGAAGGTAAATACAATGTCACAGAAAGAATTAAGCAACAAAAATTATTGACCGTCATATTCAAAGTACTGCTTCAGTTATTGACCTCACATGAGGATGGACTGGAGCATGTTAGTGTTGACTGCAAATTAAATATGAATTTTTACCTCTTTCAAGTTTGAGCAACCAATACTTTTTGTTGAAGACCAAACCTTTGGTCTTCTTTGGAAAGTGTGTGCATCTCTGTCTGTAAAATTGTATTGATGGCTTGCTTTGCATAAGACCCTGTGCTGAGTTCTCCAAGGGTTATGAAAATGAGTAAGGCTTGTTCTCAAGGAGCTTATATTTTATAAGGAAAGGTAACATAAGAGAATGCTATGCACGTTTTAGGAGAAGGCATGAAGTCGAATGGAAACAGCTAGAAGGGGGGCTTTGCCAGCTGTAGGGATTTAGGCTTCATGGAGGTGTTTAATTAGGCTCTGAAGAATTGGTTGGCTTCCAGTACTCCAATTTAGAGAGAAGGTGACGCGAGCATGGAAAAGCATTGGGAAGAGTGTATTTGGGAATAGCTGGCAGTGTCATTTTTATTGGAGGATGTAAGTCAAGCAAGTGGTTGGTGGTCAGTGGTACTGGAAAGATATACTGGTATGAAATTAAAACAAGAATATGGATTTCTTATGGAGACAGTGGCGGGCCACCGAAGGCTGAAGGCAACTGGATATCCTAGTCTGAAAGTCAGTAAGAGGGACTTGCCTGGAGTCGACAGCCTTCTCCCCTGTAAGGCAGGGATATTGAAAATACCTTGCAGAGGGCTCCAAAAAGGATGCAGGGAGATGATTCATGCAATGCTCTTAAAACTTCCACATGCTGTGATGTTCAGGATGGTTCTTAAAGGGGGTAGTGGGGGAGAAGGATTCCCACTTGCTTCTTGGCAGAAGAGATTTTTCTAAAAATCTAGAAATATCATAGAATTCTGGTATTCCCCAGCCTTTAGTGCTTCTTAAGTTTGTTTTTCTCCAAAGTGAATCATTTCCTAATAAACATATATATGTTTAATTTTTAGTTATTTGAAGATCTAAGGAGTGGCTACTTAGATGTATTTGACGGCAAAGAAGTAAGCACTTAAAAATAATTGAATTTTGTTTATTGCAATGTTTTCTTTCCTAGAATTGACTCTTATTGTCATTACAGAAAGATCTTCTAGAGAAATTACTCTCAGAGGACCCCAAGGAACGACCTACCACATCTGAGATACTGAAGAGTTTGAAGGAGTGGAATAATGTTACAGAAAGAAGGAAACGAAACACATATTAGATACTTAAAAAGTATCCTGCTTCTGATAATTCCATTTTCCTATAACTGTCTAAAATCTGCTTGGGAATATTGATGGTATTTATCTTCTATTTTCATTTTTTCTCTTAATTTTTTTTTTTTTTTTTTGCCACATTTGCAGAAAGGCTTACATTTTTTCTTACTTCAGAAACATTCTTACATTTAACTTTCCCATGGATCATCTTCTTATTATGAAAATACCAAAAGAATCCCTCAAATTTTCTTTTTAATGCCAATCAGTGAATCAGTTAATTAATGAGTGTTTATTAAATGCCTAATGTTTCTAGGCAAAAATACTATCAGATCTATCTCTGTCTTAAATAGCTAACGATCTGGTTGGAGAATCTGGTGACCATGAAAAGATAAGTAAAAAAAATAAGTATAATCACTTCTGAAAGCAATTTGGTATCATATAGCAAACGTAAATGTATACATCCTATCCTGAAAAGCTATCAATTCCATTGCTACATACACACCCACAAGAATGTTCATAGAAACCCTGTTCATAATAGCCAAAAGAATAGGAAACAATGCTAATGTGCGCCAGAAGAAGAAAGGATACACAAGTTGTATTATATTCATACACTAGAGTACTGTATGTATAGCATGAAAATGAAGGGATTTCAGCTGAACACACTGACATGCCAAATCTCTCAGAAACAAAGCAGATTGCAGGAACTATACACAGAATGATTCCATTAATATAAAATTCAAAGAACATGCTCAGTGGAATAAGTGTGAAATGAGTGTGTTTAGGTATCCAAACGAATGTGGTAAACAATACAGGGAAGGAAAGGAGTGAGAACGATTATTAGATTCTGATAGTGATTTTCTCTGAGGAGGGACAGGAGAGATTTCAGAGTTAACAGTTAATTTTTTTTTTTTAACCCTGCATGTTGAGTCCACTAGTGTTTACTGCATAAATATTTTAGTTCTCTTAAATACATTTTGTACATGTTATAACAGACACTTTGAAGAGATGGTAGTTGTGCTGTAAGACAATAGCTGAGCACAGAAAACAGTCTCTCTGGAGGGGTGAGATCACATTCCGAGGAACCATGGCACAGGCTTAGAAGTGACATTCCAGTGAGACCTCCAAGTCTGTGAAGGACTGAGATGGATAGAGAGCAGACCACGTGAGAAGTCTGGACAAAGGGCCTGGTATGCATCCTGGGAAAGATAGATTTGAGAGATTGGGTATGCCAGTTTGGTTCTGTGAATTGCTGTTGGGAATGTGCTTAGCTACTCCGTTGTGTCCATCTCTTTGTGACCCCATGGACTGTAGCCCGCCAGGCTCCTCTGTCTGTGGAATCTTGTAGGCCAGAATACTGGAGTGGGTGGCCATTTCCTCACTCCAGGGGATCATCCTGACCCCGGGATCGCACCCGCGTCTCTTGCATCTCCTGCCTTGGCAGGCAGATTATTTACCGCATAGCCACCTGGGCCAGAATATAATTGAGGCTGCATCTTGGAAGAACTTGAGGGTTACTTTAAGCTTGTAGTAACCCACTGCCTTCCCAGGTGGTGCAGTGTAAAGAATCCGCCTACCAAGGCAGGAGAAGCAGGGGAGGTGGGTACGATCCCTGGGTGGGGAAGATCCCCTGGAGTGAGGAAATGGCAACCCACTCCAGTATTCTTGCCTGGAGAACCCCATGGACGGAGGAGCCTGGCGGGCTACAGTCCACGGGGTCGCAAAGAGTCGCGAGTGACAGCACTCAGCAGAGCACACGGCAGCAACCAAGCATCATTCTAAAATCATCAAGTAATTTTATAACTTTTAAAATGAGCCAAGTTTAAGCTTGGCAGAAAAAAATAGTAATAGAAAATACTTTTGTCAAGATTTATAGCAATTTCTAAAAAGTGTAACTGAAAGCAATTAATATGGTCTTCAGCTCCCAGTGCAGTATTTGATTAAGGCAAGGTTCATCAATGGATGCTAAAACTATTGGTTGAAAAGGTATTGGGAAACAGGAGCCATAAAAGGATGTAAATATAGTCCCACAGATGATATTACAAAGGGGAAAATGTATCTTTAAAATGAAGAGATCTTGTCACCACAATAACCAAGTAATTAAAGGTTCAGCATCACCAAAAGTGGAAGTACCTAACACTGCACCCATCCTGATGTGATGTAAGAATTATACACTGTCACCTGTTTAGTTTTCTTGCCCACAGTGTTTAACTGGAAATTAATCATGAGGAAATGATGAGCCAAATCCTGAATGAAGTCACTGATAAGGTAATTAACTTGGGTTTCTCAAAAAATCAGGATGATGAAAAAAAACAAGAAAGTAGAGGAACTCTTCTAAATACAGAGAGACTAGAGATACCATGACCAAATGCAATGCTTGAATCTTGATTGTATCCTGGTATATACATAAAAAAAACCCAGGAAATAGCTATAAAAGACATTCTTGAGATAATTGAGAACATTTGAATATAAACTGCATATTAAATGAATTTATAGAATAATTGTTAATTTTCTTAGGTATGATAATGATATTGATAATGATATTGTCATACTGGAAGATGTCTTATTCTTAGGCAGTGCATACAGAAAAGTTTAGGGGTGAAGTGGCTTGACATTTGCAACTTAACTATTGTTCAGCAAAAATCAAGGTAAACATTAATATGTGTATGTTTGTATACACTTAGTCATTCAGTAGTGTCTGACTCTTTGTGACCCTTTGGGCTGTAGCCCGCCAGGCTCCTCAGTCCATGGGATTCTCCAGGCAAGAATACTGGAGTGGGTTGCCATTTCCTCCTTCAGGGAATCTTCTCTATCCAAGGGACCAAACCTGCGTCTCCTGTGTCTCCTGCATTGCAGGCAGATTCTTCACCTGCTGAGCCATTGGAGAAACACCTATATGTATGTGTGTAAATACAGAGAGAGACAGAGAGAGAGAGGGAAGTGTGGCAAAGTGTTAACACAATGATAAATCTAGGTGGAGGATATACAGTATTTCTTGTGTTATTCCTAGAGCTTTTCTGCAGGTTTGAAATTTTTCTAGGGGGAGAGAAATCTTTTTTAAAAGAATTAGTATTATCTGGATTTGATGAATAAAGACAAACTCAAAAGAAAAGCCAGTGAATGTGGCAGATTAGTATGAATGTGGCTTTATTTTTACCTTCTCTCATTTTTTAAATTCAGGTATAATTGATTTGCAATTTTATATTAGTTTCAAGTGTACAGCATAGTGATTTGGTTCTTTTATATATCCTTCTCTCACTCAAATATTTCTCGACTACTGTGAAGTAAATACAGCGTCCCTTAAAGGTTTATTTTAGTATGTGTTTTCTCAGCCTTAAACTATCTAGTAAATAAAAAGTAACTAGTAAATAAAAAGTATCCTTTTAGTCAGAGGAGAAGAGGGGCAAAGACCAGGGACCTTATTTGCTAATTAAAACACATATGTGCAGAGATTTTCAAGAGCCATTTTAACCTAATTGCCTCACTAGAAACAGAACTTCTAAGAAATTTTTATTACAAAGAACACATATTTCCTATTAAATTCGCACATAGTTAACATAAATATATATATATGTATCATACTCAGCACATGTTATTTTTGTTGGTGGTATTTAGTATAAATACACACATATACACATATATGTGAGTGTATGTGTGTCTGTGTGTATGGCTAGCTATATAATATGTGGGAGCCAAAGCAAAATGAAAATGTGAGGCCCTTATTCAAATATTAACATGGGGGCCTTATGCAGCCACACAGACTGCATGTCAGTGAAATCAGGCTTGTATGTATATACATGTGTGTATACACACGTATACATATTGCACATGTATGTATGAAATGGTTAGAAATCTACAAACAAGCTTTTCCAAGACTGTTATCCCGTGTACCAACTTGAGAGAGAAACTCACAACATCTATTTCACACTTGAGTGTTCAGCATAGATTGAGGTTTGGGCATGTTACTTTTTTGTTATGAATATGGAATAATTTCAATATTATCCATATTTATTTTTATAAGTTTTTATGTTAAAACATAAAAGCAGAGACTAGAATAATGAAACTCTATGTACCCGGCTTCAACGACTATCAGTATTCTGCTTTTCTTGTTCCATTTACCCCTTTCTTTTGCTGGAGAATTTTAAAGTAAATCTCAGGTATTGTATCATTTTGCTTGTAAACACTTAAAGACGTATTTAAATTTTTTTTCCTTTGTTTTTTGGCTGCGCTGGGTCTTCTTTGTTGCCTGCAGGCTTTCTTTTTTTTTTTTCGCCTGCAGGCTTTCTCTGGTTGTGGTGAGCGCAGGGCTAATCTGTGGTTGTGGGGTGTGGGCTTCTCACTGCTGTGGCTTCTTTTTCTGGAACTTGGGCTCTAGAGCACGTGGGCTTCAGTAGTTGTGCGTGGGCTGAGTTGACCCACAACATGTGAATCTTGGACCAGGGATTGAGTCTGTTTCCCCCCTGTATTGGCAGGCAGATTCTTAACCACTGCACTACCAGGGAAGTCCTAAAGATGTATTTCCAACATAAAAGATGTTTTAAATTTTAACCAAACCTCGATATCACTGTTGCTCAACAAAATTAGTAAGATTTCTTTCATAATCAGACTGTATGGAGTTTTCCTATCTAGAAATATTTTTTGGCAGGTTTTTAAAATCAGGATCCAACATTGCATTTAGTTGGTAAATAAATTTTTGCCAGCTTTATAACATTACCCTGCTTTTCGTTTCTTTCCTCTTGCCTTTTATTTGAGGAAGGAACTAGGTCATATATCCTATAGAACGTCCTTCATTTAGGATTTGGCTGATGGTATCCCCATGGTGTTTAGTTAGATCTAGAAAATTGATTTGATTATGGTCTGAAAATTTTTTCCAAGAATACTCCCTAGATGATGCTGTAGTATGCGTGTGTGTGTGTGTGTGTGTGTGTGTGTGTATGTATGTATGTATAGAGAAAGGAGTCATCCTTATTTCTATGTGAAAATCAACATACAATGTATTTCTTATACATGGCATTAGGGTATGATGCTGTATATTTTGCATCACTCCAGGAGGAGCATGATGTTTGACTGTTACACTTTTGGTGATTTTAAGTTTGATCGGTGGTTTGTGGTGGTGTCTGCGTTGGGAAGATCCCCCTGGAGAAGGGAAAGGCTACCCACTGCAGTGTTCTGGCCTGGAGAACTCTGTGGACTGTATAGTCCATGGGGTTGCAAAGTCAGACACGACTGAGCGACTTTCACTTGTGGTGCTGCCATCCACTACCGTCAATTCCCCTTGTTGGTCGTTCATCTAACAGTGTTAGCAGCCATTGATGACTACTGCCT